ACTGTAGTTCACATGTTGGAAATGAACAGCAAAATGCCAATACTCCAAATAGTCCTTCTTCATGAATGAAAGGCCGTTTTGTTTTATCCTGTTCCTGTTTAGATGTCCATACATGTGCTCACACTACATAACAAACCTGTTTTTCCAGGCTAAATGCCTTTCAGGCTTTTATAGAGGGTTTTAATTTTGAAAAAGCAAAATATGTCTTAAATGTGAAAAGGGAGGTTTGTTTCTACCCATAAGACTACCTGAAGGAATGCTGCCTTTGAAATATTCACATCTGCAAGGCATTTTGTTCAAGAAACCAAGGTATCTAAACAAATCATGATTATAAGAAAATTCTATAGACATAGCAGAGTAGCTATAAGAGTAGGAAGAGCAGTAGAACCTGGGATAAGCAGTTCAGATTTTCTTTGCATAGAACAAGGCTTCCTTATATTGAACAAATCATTCTTATGCCCTGGGCTCCCAAGTGGTTGTGGGTCTTCTAAGAGATGGGTGGCACAAGATGAAACAGTAAGTTAAGGAGGAAAAAACAGAACCTTTTTTTTCAACCTAAAAGCTTAGTACTACTTAATACATGAATTGGGTCAATTGCATGGAAGGCAGTTATAGAATTGTGGTCAAAGCAAACTCTCAAGCTCGTCTACCTGGATTTGTGTTCTGACCCTACTATTTAAACACCATTGACCTTGGGAAAATTACTTCACCTTTCTGTGCCTCCATTTCATCACCTATAAAATTGACAATGCAATGAGTTGAACTCATAGATTCGTTATGAGGACTATATGGGTTAGTATCCATAAAGCACTTAGAACAGTGCCTGGTGCAAAGTAATCACTGTGCAAATATTTATCCCATTAAGTGGAATAAAGATTACGAATAGTCATTTCTGGCAAATTCATTATGTATTTGCTATAAATTATTTACTTATTATCCTAAGATCCTCAGACATGTTTAGAAGAAGAGACAAGCATAAAACACATTATTCTATTTTCAAAAGGAACTAATAAATTCAGTGTGAGTCAGTGGCTTATACAAGTCATGGTGGGCCCCTAAATAGTACCATTTGGCAAAAAAGATACTCTCTACTGGTCAGAGCTGTCAATCTAGATAAAAAATAAAAGAAGAACTCAGTTCAGTCATAAATTTATATACTAAAAACACAGGAAATCACTGAGGTTCCTGTCTCAAGCATAAATTTGATTTCTCAGACCAATACAGTCAGAGTTTGTCTGCCACACCAAGAATCAGGGTCTCCAGGCATGTTTAGCTCCCCCAGTTACTGCCCCCAGCCCTGCTATTCAGATATATCTGGCAGTTGCTACATGGGGCAGCCCCTTTGGGAGCCCCTGACCACCCTCCACCTGGACACACAGAGAACCACTCCCATTCTGCCCTTTTCCCATCTGCCCGCTGCTGCTGCTGCTGCTGCTGCTGCTGCAGGAAAAACTCCAGCCTTTAGACATGGAGTGGAAGCATCTGTGGAAAGCCCAGCAGCCAGAAAAACCAACAAGGTGGACCTCCTGCCCCCATGTGACCTTAATCAAATGGCCCCAATTTCTCGACTTCCCTTGATTCATTTCCATTAAATTCAGTCAGATTTATGTTCCCCCCGAATGAGTATTTTCTTTGGAAAAGGCAAGAATATTGGGTTGGGCACGGTGGCTCACGCCTGTAATCCCAGCACTTTGGGAGGCCGAGCCAGATGGATCACCTGAGGACAGGAGTTCAAGACCAGCCTGGCCAACCCCATCTCTGCTAAAAATACAAAAATTAGCTGTGTGCAGTGGTGCGTGTTTGTAATTCCAGCTACTCAAGAGGCTGAGGCAGAATGTCTTGAACAAGGGAGGTGGAGATTGCAGTGAGCCAAGATTGTGCCACTGCACTCCAGCCTGAGCAGCAGAGCAAGGTCAAAAAAACAAAAAAACGAAAAAAGAAAAAAAAAAACAACAACAACAACAAAAAAAAAAACACCAAAAAAAGAATATCTTAGATGAGTAAATTCATTCAATCTAATTGTTCTTCTCCTAACACCTAGTTGAGACTAGCCAAATCTGAGTCCAATTTTCACTTAATAAGCATGTATTGAACACATCTGAATGTGCCAGGCATATTAGTGGGCCAAATAAAGACCATAACAAGCTTCATAGCAGCACAAATCAGGTTTTGCCACCAAGTGAACTTCCCCCATCTGCTGTGCAGAGGGGATGCATAGGGAGAGAAAGACAAACAAGCAATGGCAGAAGTGATAAATGCCATGAAAGAAGAACGAAAAGATACAGCAGAGGAATTGAACCCGAGGTCATGGGAGAGTAACCCAAGCGGAGACCTGGAGGATGGGTTAATGTTAACCAGGAAGGTGACAGGAAGGTGCTCTAGGCCCCAGCGCAGAGATGGTGACTGCGGGGTCCTGGGGGCAGCCTGACCATGGAAGGTTTGACTGACAAAGTAAGTTAAGGAGGGAAAAACAGAACCTTTTTTTTCAATCTAAAAGCTTTGTACTATTTAATACATGGATTGACAGTCGATTGCATGGAAGGCAGTTACAGAATAGTGGTCAAAGCAAACTCTCAAGCTCGTCTACCTGGATTTGTGTTCTGACCCTACTATTTAAACATCACTGACCTTGGGAAAATTACTTCACCTTTCTGTGCCTGCATTTCATCACCTATAAAACTGATCATGTAAACTTTGCCCAGTGAGATGACCCAGTGAAATGACTTTTAAGCAGGAGAATAGCCTGCTTAAAATTCAGCTGACCTGAATTTTAAACAATCCCTTTGGATGCAGTGAGAGAATGAAGTAGACAGATGGAAACCAACTAGGAATCTAAGAGTCTAGGCAAGGAGTAATAGAGGTTTAATCCAAGTGGTATCAGTGGAACTGGGGAGAAGTGGAGAGATTGAGACACCCAGGAGACAAAGCCATAGGACTCAGTAATGTATCATTTAAAGGAGATAAAGAGGAAGACTCCTGGCTTCTGGTTTGATCCATAAGATGGTTGGGGAAGACCTATACTGAGAAGCAGGGTTGGGGGTACGACGATGAGTAAGTAAGTCCAGAAATGCTGCTTCTGAGGTGCCAGGGAGACATCCAAGGGATGCAGCACCTGGATGCAGGAGACAAGTAGGGGAGACACACCCATCTGGAGCCATCAGCATCAAGGTTAATCACCTGGCAAGTGTGTGAAGAGTAAATGACAAGACGACTAGCACTTAAGGGAGACAGGCAGTGGAACTGGGAGGCCAAGGAGACTATGAAGAAGCAAGCAGGGAGGTGGGAGGTGAGCAGGGTGAGTGTGGTGTCACAGAATCAAGGTCAATGAAGACACTGGCTGAACTGTCCCTGCATTTGGAGTCCTGTACCTCATTTGCTGGCTGCCTCAGTGAGAGTATTTCAGGGGAGGACTTAAGTGTGGAAGCCAGTTTGCAATAGGTTGAAAAGTGAATGGGAGGCAAAAAAAGAACTCCAAAGCACCAGGCAAATTTGTCAAGTAGTTTTTGGGCTATAAAAGGAAGAAGAAAGAGGGTGATGTCTGGGGGAGAACACGGGGTCAGGATGGTTTTTGTTTTGGGACAAAAAAATTAAGTACATTTCAAAACTGATGAGAGTCTGTAAAGGAAGGACAGTTAAGGATGGGAGAGAGAGGGAATAATGAGTAAGAAGGTTCCTGAAATGAGCAGAGGGGCTGAGGTCCACAGTGGAGGGAAGGAATAACACTTCTTCCATGGTGGCAGGGAGGGAGGGGAGAGAATGGGTCTGACGTCTACAGGTGTACAGATCTTTTGGTGGGAGAGTAGAGTTCCCACTTAACGGCTTCCAGATGCTCTGCATGGTGGGTGGCAAATCAACTATGAGAGTTAACCAGTGGGCAGGGGTTGAGGTCTGAGAGGAGTGGAGAAGGTCTGAAAGGGCTGTTGTGTAGGAAAGGAGCATTGGCCTGGGTGACATGCTGAGCAGCATGCAGGTCCTGCCAAGGGTGAAAGCATGATCGACCCATGGTGCAGCCTTAGAAGTGGTGCAGTGGGTGGCTGGCAGATGGCTGGATACATGCAGAGCTGAGGTGTGTCCTGGCAGGGGTATCAGAAGGACAATGAGGCTAAGGAGTTTAGGATATTGGCAGGAGGGTGGTTAAAGGGATGAGCCACGGAATATAGGCTGCATAGAAAAGGGAGTACAAGGAAGGAAGTGGCCAGTGGAGAAGGAGAAAGCCAAAGCAAAGGGACTTAAAGAGAGGAAGTGGGTAAATTTGCAGCAAGGAACACTGGGAGTTTCAGACAAAGTCAGGCTTGTGCAGCGAGGGGACACTGGGCTTACTTGGGATAAAGATAAAAGCAAACGAGACGATTTCTGCCAAATTAAACTACTTGCTAAGACCAGACTTTTCTCCAAGAAAATGGAAAGAAATGCAAAGAGCAGCATAGGGAATGAATGGACTTGTCAGAACCCCTTTGTGATTTCTTTGTGATTAGGTAGGGCATTACACAAAGAATACAGAATCTGAATACATTTTTAAAAATCTTGCTTTGATTTCTCACTATAAAGGCTGCATTCCTAAAATGAATGACTTATGAGAGAAGAGACATGCTCTGCTAGAGGAAGACAGATGTTGCTAATTTGGGATTTGGTTTCAAACTCCAATCACCTCTCCATAAACTTACCACATGATTTAATAATGGGATTTGAAAAATAAAATGTTTATTGAGCACTTCCTACATGCCAGGCACTGAGAATGTTACATGTGGATTTCATTCAATCACCATGACTCTGAAGCGTGTACTTGCATTGCCCCTATTTTACTGATGGGGAAACGGAGACTTAAAGAGGTTAAGTACGTTTACCGGTACTCTTAGTTTTTCAGCTAATGGTAATAATGCCAATTGGTACACTATAAGGCCTGAACCATAAAAATGATTTACAGTTCACCTAAATTCTAAATGACAATTTTGATTACATGAAGGATTTGATTTAAAATGTTAAAAAATCTCAATACAAACCTATATTTCTCTGAATTAGCATGCACTCCTTCTCCTTTGTAGAAAAGTGGCTTCTGCTTGAAATGCCAAAGTCAAAGCAGTACTTATTCCTCCCCATGTCAAACAAAGTGCAGTTAAAAACGGTCCGTCTCTCTCCCAGGGGCAGGCTGTTTTCAGCCAAATGAATGGTCCTCTTCCCAGGGGATCTGGGGGCCTCCTTGAAGACAGTGACCACTCCTTGCACGAAGGTGCATGGTGGAGGCAGCACCATCACCTCCACCCCCGACTCGCATGTGAGTTCTGGTGCCATCATCAGTTTGTATCCAAATTTCCGGGCCAGGTCAATGGGTCCTGTGGAGGTAATGACTGAGTCTCGCCCAAGCAGCTTCAGCACCACGGTAACATACGCTTCCGTCCCCACAGGTGCACAGCCAAACTCAACCCACTGACCTTGAGCAAGTTCTGTCCTTTTGCTGGTTCTTATTTCCAGCAGCTGTCCTGAATTTCTCCTTGATTCAGGAAGACTGTTGGTGAAGATGACATCCACTATGATGTCAGGCTTGTCCACAAGAAATGGGCACAGTGGTTGACTGGTAAATAGGCCCACTTGGAAGGTGCCTTCTGCTGCCTTGGAGCTCCTGTTCAAGTCAATATGAAACACAGGCCATTCCACCTTCAGAAAGGCACTTTTCTCCCACCAAGGGAATGGAGTGCTGTTGTCTGTTGCTTCTGGACTCATTGTGAACTGGTAGTCACCAGCCTCCTTGAAGTAAAAGCATTCAAACTTGAGTGTTCCCTGGGACTGATTGGTCAGGAAGTACTTAGTAGTTATGGTCTGATTGGTGTTGGCCTCCAACAGCAGGACAGATACATTCCTCAGCGTCCCATTAGCACCATCAAAATACTGGAAATCCACATACACGGTGTCATTGCTTAGTGCTACATGGCCTGACTCTCTCAAGAGAAGATATTCAGCTTCTCCAAGAACTGAAATGAAGTGGTCAGAATTGGTTTTTAAAAGGTGCATTTGAGCAGAACTATTAGTGACATTGATGAAAACAGAATTTTTAATTTTTTTTCCAAGACAGGGTCTCCCTCTGTCACCCAGGCTAGAGTGCAGTGGCACAGTCACTGCTTGCTGTACCCCTAACCTCTTGGGCTTAAGTGATTCTCCCACCTCACCCTCCAAAGTAGCTGGGACTACAGGCACATGCCACCACACCCAGCTAATTTTCTTTTTGTAGAGACTGGGTCTCACTATGTTGCCCAGACTGTTCTCAAACTCCTGGGCTCAAGCAATCCTTCCACCTGACTCCCAAAGTGCTAAGATTATAGACATGAGCCACTGTACCCAGCAGAAAACAGCATTTTAGATAAGAGAAGTTAGAACACAGCCAGGGATGATGTGAAATTATACTGAGTACAGATCCTGGAAGCTGGCCACTGCGTTCTTTGCACTCTGAAGTGGTTTCGTTCCTTCATCTTCATCTTTCATAGTTATGTTTAAAATGACTAGTGGTAAATACTCTGAATTCACAACTTTCGACAATGTGATATAACTGCAATGAAAATCTATACAACTAGAATAATAATTTTCGTAATTAAAAACCCAATATCTCATATTATTAATCATATTCTGGTGGTTGATATTTGGGGAAAATGGATACACACTGAAGAGAAGGCTGGATTTAAATGATACAATACAAATTGTTCTGGATGATTTTAAATGTAAGACCCTAAATTTACTTCAAAGTTGTTATTTTCTGATATTCAAGACAAGCACTGGGAAATTTTTACTAGTAAAGGAATCAGTGTCCTCAGTTTGTGTGAGGCAGAAATGTTTAGATGGATAAGAAATGTTGACACTTTATTCTGCATGAATAACCAAAGGGATAGGGTGAACATTTATGAAATAACTAGGATTGTCCTTGGCAATTTAATGTATTTGTCTAGATAAGACAGATGACTACTACTTCCCAAGTATCATTTTGTTAGGATCAATCATATCTTTTAAAAGGAGACCCAGCAGAGTACTTAAGTGAAAAGTGCAAAGAACAGACACACAAGAATCCTTGTTTCTATTTTGAATCCTATCCAAATACATATCAAAGGAGGCAGAATTTGGCAATTCAATAGTCAGCTGGCCTGTGGTTAGAGTAAAAAACAGTTCTAGATGTAAGGGACTGAAGTGCCCTTTAGATTTGAAAAACAACTTGTGTAAGTATGACTTTATTATTATTATATATGCCTCATGCATATATATGTCCAAAGGGGCCCATGTGTTTTTTGTTTGGGCTGGCAGTCTTTAAAATACCCTTATAGATATATGCAACCGATGATTATTAGAATCAGCACATTAATATCTTGGCACACAGAAGAGTTTTTAATTAGCGTAGCATTTCACCTAGTTCTCATTTCAGATTAGGTGAAATAAAAGACATAAAACTTGGATGACTTGAATGCTTGATTATCACTTGTTTGAAAACCATAATGGGATAAAGTTTTTTTTCTCCAATTAAGCAAAACAAGTTGAGGGATATTCCCTTTCGAGATGATTCAAGGTGGCTGATTCTGGTGCAGCTTGCATACTGGTTCAGAGCCAACCTGGTATTTTTCTTGAACTAGTGGGTAAAGAGACCCCAGCACTTATCACAGTACAAGCAAGTGCTTAAGACTGAGAAAAAAGTCATGTTAATTTCAATCTGAAGGGAACAGGATGGTTTTGTGGTGCATTTAAGAATAAGAGGCATACACCACTCAGCTAACTAATAAAAGTCTACTGCAGGCTGGTCTGATGGTAGCAGGTTATCGGAACTTATTAACATTAATGTCACTAAAGTTAGGTATATGACCCCTAACTACTAAATTTGACTGGCTAAACAAAAAAAAGTCTATTGTGTATGACAGGGATTGTCAATTCAATGAAGCAGATCAGATTCTGATTTGATGGAAGCCAGTCAATGAGAAAGGCACACATGCCCAGTTGGAAATGGAGAACAAAGATGCAACAGGTGGGTTCCAGCAGCAGCAGATAGGAGGTATGGATTAAAGGGAGAATTTGCTACCTTAGAACTCCTGTTAGAAAACTGCAATTTGGGCCAGGCACGATAACTCATGCCTGTAATCCCAGCACTGTGGGAGGCCGGGGAGGGTGGAACACCTGAAGTCAGGAGTTCGAGACCCGCCTGGCCAACATGGTGAAACCCCATCTCTACTAAAAATACAAAAATTAGCTGGGCATGGTGGCAAGTACCTGTAATCTCAGCTACTTGGGAGGCTGAAGCCGAAGAAGTGCTGGAACCCGGGAGGTAGAGGTTACAGGTAGCCAAGATTACACCATTGCATTCCTACCCAGGCCAACAACAGTGAGACTCCATCTCAAAAAAAAAAAAGAAAACTATAATTTGGTTCTACCACATCCTGACTACTATAGTATATGGGTAATGGTATATTTTGATCAGTATTGAGTAGAGATAAAGCGGGGAAAAACAGATCTATGACAATACCTACTTTTTTTTTTTTGAGACGGAGTCTTGCTCTGTCACCCAGGCTGGAGTGCAATGGCATGATCTCAGCTCACTGCAACCTCCACTCCCTGGTTTAAACAATTCCCCTGCCTCAGCCTCCCAAGTAGCTGGGATTACAGGCACATACTACCATGCCAGCCTAATTTTTTTCTCCTTTTAGTAGAGATGGGGTTTCACCATGTTGGCCAGACTGGTCTCGAACTCCTGCCCTCAGGCGATCTGCCTGCCTTGGCCTCCTAAAGTGCTGGAATTACAGGCATGAACCACTACGCCCAGATGACAATACCTACTTTCTCATCAGTGGCCTATGCACTTAACTTCTATGCTCTAGTTTATGCTCATTCAACTTTTATTTTCATATTCCAGTAAAAAATTTTGCTCTTAACAACAAACACCCTTGTATACTTTGTTTAAATGGAGAATTTCGATGCTTTATTTATTGTTATGAAACCAAGGACACATACTTTTTTATAGAAGGCTGTTACACGTACAGCAATCTGTTTTTAAGAAGGGTTAAATTACTTTAAAATAAATGAATCCTACATTGGCTTTCCTTAAATCTGGCATCTTCTTGTATAAATAAACTTCTTAAAAAAGAAAAGACTGAGAAAGGGGGTCTACTGAATGAAATGAACAGCACATGCTCTGATCCATTTAACTGCTGTGCCACTCACACAAGCCAGTGTCCTCTATACCTTGGATCACAATTTCTTCACCAAATAAAAAAACAACTTCCACTCCCATACCATCAACTGCTTAGATGTCTATGAAATATTTGGAAATCATCAAAAGAAAAGAAGTGAAGATTATGTCATATTGTTGACTCTATTGGTTCAGTAGTTGTGTAAAACTCTCTGAGAAATGAACTCAATTTTTAGTTGAAATGAACTTAAAGAACAGACTTTAAGCACCTACACTCTGCTCATTCAGGGCGTTTCACATTCTTGATATGATCTTAACAACCCTGTGAAGTCAATATTATTGCTGAGGTTGAAAGAGATTAAGAAACTTGTTTCAGAGCACCCAACATTCAAGGATTGAAATAGTTAGATTGGTTCCAAAGATACCAAAACTCTGTCAAGTGAAATCTTATGTAGAACCCTAATATACGCAACATAATTGCATGTGTATATGAGGTGATTTATCACACTGAATTCTTGGGAAATTGAAGAGAACTGAAAGTAACATGCTTGCTTCCTATTTGTTAAAATTGGAGAGAGTCTTTTAAAATTTTTTTAAAGGGTTAAAAATATAAAGTGAAATTTGAATCAATCATGCAGAATCATAGAAGCATAAGGGAACCCAGGGTTGCAAGGATCACAGTTCAGAAAGCACTGAACTGTAGACCCTACCCTGTCTCCTTCATGAAGAGTCATCAACATCAATGCATTTATAAATGTCACATTTATGTTTTATTGCTACCAAAAGCATTAAGTATACTCACAATACTCACCATAGTCACAGAGCACCATCAACAATAGATTTGAAAAGTCTTTCAACATTGGTTTCATTCTGATCAGCAAAATCCCAGGTCTTTAGTCTCCTCATGTCCTTTCTCACGTCCAAATTGTGATTTTTTTCCCCCAAAACACCTGAAATTAGAACCTCAAAAACTGATGGCTTCATTCAATGTGATTGACAAAATAGTAGTCATGAAATAACAAAACCATTCTAAAACTCAAACTGCCTATGTGATATTAAAAGGAAGCTAGAGAGGACACTAATTTGCCCTGGGGCAATGACTTACAATTATACAAGCCCCTTTCATTCCATTATAACTCACTGATCAAGAATATGCAGGTATGCCCAACACCCGATAAGATTATCTTTGCAAAACACCAAAGTCTCTTCTCTTTATGGCGCAATAAACTCTCCTTAAGTGGAGAGTTTATTGTTATTTGCTTAATTTTATCAAAGTTAATAGCCAAATTTGATACTAAGTTTTCACAGTATTTATCTCCTTGGCATTTCACATTGATAAATTTGCTAAATTTTTTGCCAAACTTTCACTTAGCATTGTGCTATGTACACCCACGTGCTCCCTGCCTGGTGTCCGCAAATGCGCTAACACTTCCTTGCAAAACTGATGTGTTACCAGGATTGCTTCATTTATTGACTTCTGGGAACTACATCCAAGTGATCAAAGCTTTTTTTAAAAAAAGATACCCCAGAATACTACAATTAAATGTGAACTCCATGTGGCCCTGACTTCCCTTGCTTAGGGCAGTCTAAGGGAAAAACAGATAAATAACAATCATCTTCATCAGTTCTGCAATACTTGTTGCTGCTGGTATGCATCAGGAGATAGGTGATTCACACAGCAATCTTCCCAGTCTACCTGAAAGGGCAGGGAAGACCTTGCTGGCTTGCGGTTCAGAGTTATTTGTTGGAAGAGGCACTTATTTTGATACTGACTATTCAACTATAGAATAAGATACTGGGCATTTAAGACAGTTCTTTCATACTACAGTCTAGCAAACTATTAGTTATTAATATTAAATATAACCAAATATATATATTTCTTAGTGTTTACATTCCCCCCATTACTCACAGTTAATCTCTCTCTCTTTTTTTGGGGAGGGACAGAGTCTTGCTCAGTCACCCAGCCTGGAGTGCAGTGGCCTGATGTTGGCTCACTGCAACCTCTGCCTTCCAGGTTCAAGTGATTGTCCCACCTCAGCCTTTCGAGTGATTGGGATTACAGGTGTGCACTACCACACTTGGCTAATTTTTGTATTTTTCGTAGAAAAGTGGTTTCACATGTTGGCCAGGCCAGTCTCGAATGCCTGACCTCATGATTCGCCCACTACAGCCTCCCAAAGCATTGGGATTATAGGCGTGAGCCACCGCACCTGGCCCACAGTTAATCATTTTAATGAGCAAATATATTATATTCCAAATACATATTACATCTCTTCAGAGAAGAACACAAATTAGTAGGATTAAGAAGACTGATTGAAATAAGCCAGAATTCAACGGAAAGGAAACTGGTGTGTCTCTATTAGCTTTCTTTCAGTAAGAACTGGTTGAACAAAGGAAATACTGTACTTCCTGAAAGGGAAGCAGAGATTTGAAGTGTAACTATGCAGATGATTAGGGCTCCCTCCTCTTCCCTGCCACCCCTTGCCAAAAAAAAAAAAAAAAAGAAAATTCTGTTTTGGATGGAATTAGCCACAGATTTGATCCAATTCTTTCCTTGAACACAGACTGGGAAACCTGGCCAAAGACAGCTGGTGAGATCCTTAGAGAATGCATCGTATCTCTTGGGCAAGTGTGAGCACTTAGGACAATTACAATACTTCTTTTAAGTCATTGAGACCTGGTAACCAAACTAAGAAGAAGCAAGCTCCCAAAAGTTGAACTGATTTCTCTCAGATTTGTTTGCTTCCACCACAATAACCTTTTCATTTTTTAAGCCCCAAATAGTAACTGATTTTGTGATTATAACACATTTTTTCTCTTATGAAAATGATCAGTAAACATAGAATTGTGAGATCATCCATATTGTGAGCTGAATGAAGACATAAAACAAACCAGCCTACTTATCCATTGTAATATGGATTATGGTCATAATCATAACATCATAGTAGTGATATGTCTCTTTAATTTCTACCTTGCTTGCTTATTTTCTTTCAACATGTTCTTCCCAAAACCCCAACTGACTTCTTACAATGTTTGGCTCAATAATTGTTCTAAGAAATTAAGAACTTAGGTATGCTTTATACACTTTTGAAAATACGTCTAGATAGCATTCTAGTATGCAAACTTTATAGAAAAATTCTAAATGCATCAGCTGAGAAGGTGGGGAGAAGCTGTGAATATTCTCAATGGCTAACAGCATCCCCCAACCTTAGTGTTTTTGCTGAAACCAGCTAGGACAAACGCTTCTAAATCTCCCTTCATAGCTGCAGAAAAAGAAAATGAATTACACTAATGTCGACGGGACCAATAATTCGTGAAAGAATAAAAGGGAGAACGAAGCAGTTACTTTGTCCCTTCTGACCAACATGCACATACTCGTGTGTATATCTAGGAATCATATCTATTGGGAGGAAATCTCTAGTTCCAAAGCAGCTCGTGTAAACAGGCTTTATTTATATGTTCATTCGAGTCTGCTCTGCCCCGGTCCCATGGGTTGGGTGCAGCGTCCCTGGGACACTGTGCGCTCGCCCCAGCTACTCAGCTTCGCAAACCCAGTTCATGCTTGGAAATCTATGCCTCGTGTCGTCAGCATAAAGCCCTCTTAATGAAGACCGTCTTGAATTTAATTTAATGCTTATATCTCATACTTTCTGTATCCCAGAAAGGATTTCTTTTTGGAAAGAAACAGTAGCTCAAGACGCAAATTTTCAAGGTTCTGTGGCCAGTCTCAGTCACTCGGCAACATCTGAGCTAGGAGAAAGCCATGTTCCGTTAAAGTCGGGTGTGGAGACCGACACCCCCTTAAAGCGTGCTCTGGGGCCGAGGCGGGTGTGTGGGGGGGCAGCCACCGTCCACCTGCGCCTTCGGGCTGCGGGGAAGTGGCAGGGCCCGGGAGCATTTCCCAACCCCAGCAGAGCCGCGGAGGGTCTTGAGGTACAGGAGCGCCCGCTAGGGCGCTGGCACCGGGATGCGGAGGTCGCTTCTTACCTTTCAGGACTGGCAGGCAGCGACCCCAGGCTGGCCGGGCGAGTGGCGAGGCAGACGGGAGGCCTCAGTGGCCGCGAGGCAGCGCGCCCAGCATCTCGCGTCTCGGAATGCGCGCCCGGACCCCGCGGCGCTCGGCTCCCACTGCCCCGCCCGGGCCCGCCTCCGACGGCGTGGGGAGGGCGGGCACCGGGAGGGCGGGGGGCACTCGGGACCGGGTGTGGTCGGCTCCCGCCCCTTCTGGGCAGCGCATCCTTTCCTGCCCGCCCCCAGCTCGCCAGCTGCTGGACAGGAAACAGGCAGGAAACGCGCGAGGCCAGCCAAGGTCCTGCGGGAGGGGGTGCGGCCCTGGCAGTCGCAGGTCTCCCCAACGCACACCCGCGTCCGCAGCCCACGGCCGAACCTGGGGTTTTAAGGACAAGCAGCAATCTCCTGACACTTCACATTCAATCACTTCTCCCCTAGTGTCATTTTCTTCTGGGAGACCACAAAAATAAGTCCTTGAAGTGGCACAGCATGTGGTTGTAAATTTGCTTTCCCAAATGCCATTGAAGAGTTTCAAAAGACCATAGTTCAGGTAAAGTACATCTCCATTTCCATTTTCTTTCCCTGGGATCAGAATTGGTTATTAAAAATAACTAAACATTGAAAAAACTCTAATGTGAATTACTTCAGTCACTATGGAAAGCAGTTTGGAAATTTCTCAACTCAAAATAGAACTATCATTTTACTCAGCAATCCCATTACTGGGTATATACCCAAAGCTAAATAAATCATTCTACCAAAAAGACACCTGCACTCCTGTTTATCACAGCACTATCCACAATAGCAAAGACATGGAATCAACCTAGGTGCCCATCAACAGTGGACTGGGTAAAGAAAGTGTGGTACATACACACCATGGTATATTACGCAGCCATAAAAAGGAACAAAATCATGTCCTTTGTAGCAACATGGATACAGTTGGAGGACATTATCCTAAGTGAATCAATGTAGGAACAGAAAACCAAAAACCGTATGTTCACACTTACAAGTGGGAGCTTAAACAATGGGTACTCATGGATATGAAGATGGCAACAACAGACACTGGAGACTCCAAGTCAAGGGAGGGAGGGAGAGGGGCAGGGGCTGAAAAACGTCCTAGTGGATACTACGTTCATTATCTAGGTGACAGGATCAACAGAAGCCCAAACCTCAGCAACATGCAATTATCCTTGTAACAAACCTATATATGTGCCCCCAAATCTAAAACTAAAATTAACCAAAAAAATTAAGCTTTTTTGAAAATGAGAGGATTCCACCTTAGCAGCTGTGCTTGTTAAATTGAGTAATGTGCAATATGGTTTACCACTTGCTTTTCTTTTATGCAGAATATAACATTTGACAGCAAAACTAATATCCAATAATGGAAATCAGAGCACAGCAGTGGCCTTTGGAGAGCGGGTGACTGTAAAGAGGCACCAGGGAACTCTTAGGAGGTGACAGATATGTTCTCTTGTTTCGGGTGTGAGCTACATGGATTTACTATTTGTTAAAGCTCATCTGGCTGAAAATCTGTGCATTGCAATTTGTAAACTTTACCTCATTTTTAAAATATTTTAAAATAAGTGATTTGCAGGTCTTTGATTCTATCACTTCATTTTTTAAAAGGTAGCACAAGTATTTACTTATATGTTACCAGAGTTATAAAATTTTCTAAGAACTTATCTTGTCAGCCAGGTGTGGGGGCTCATGCCTGTAACCCCAACAATTTGAGAAGCCAAGGCAGGGGGATTGCTTGAGCCCAGTAGTTTGAGACCAGCCTGGGCAAAATAGTGAGACTCCATTGCCACAATAAATAAAAAATTATTTGGGAGACCAAGGGGGGTGGATTGACTGAGCTCAAGAATTCAAGACCAGCCTGGGCAACACGGCAAAACCCCATTTCTACCAAAAATACAATAAATTAGCCAGCTGTGATGGCACGTGCCTGTGGTCCCAGCTGCTTGGGAGGATGAGGCAGGAGGATCTCTTGAACCCAGGTGGAGGCTTCAGTGAGCCGAGATGATGCCACCGCACAGGCTGGGCGAGACCCCATCTCAAAAACTAAAATAAATAAAAAACTAGCCAGATGTGGTGGCATGTACCTGTTGTCCCAGCTATTTGGGAAGCTGAGGTGGGAGAATGACTGAGCCCAAGAGGTTGGGGCTAGAAAACAGTGATGAAGCCACTGCACTCCTGCCTGGGTGACAGAGTGAGAACCTGTCTCAAAAAAAAAACAACAAAAAAAACACCCAGTCAATCTTGTCAAATAGTTACTTCTAGCAATACTATTTAAATCCATCCAAAGTTTCAAAGAAGACTTTAAGGTGATCATCCCATTTCATTGTCAATAGAATTATCCAGTCTAATATTCATTCAATTTAAGCTCAGATTCTTTTTTGGAATACATACCACCCAGTCTCTGGCATTTCAGTTTTGTTTTGTTTTGTTTTGAGACAGAGCCTTGCTGACACCAGGCTGGAGTGCAGTGGCACAATCTCGGCTCACTGCAACCTCTGCCTCCTGGTTCAAGTCATTCTTCTGCCTCAGCCTCCCGAGTAGCTGGGACTACAGGAGCAGGCCACCACGCCTGGCTAATTTTTGTATTTTTTAGTAGACATGGGGTTTCACCATGTTGGTCAGGATGGTCTCGATCTCTTGACCTTGTGATCTGCTGCCTCGGCCTCCCAAAGTGCTGGGATTACAGGTGTGAGCCACCGTGCCTGGCCAGCATTTCAGTTTAAAAGCAAAGGCTCAGTGGAAACAGCAGGTATTGGAGATATAACAGTACAAAATTAGCCAGTGTGGTGGTGTGCACCTATAGTTCTAGCCATCAGGAGGCTGAGGTGAGAGGATTGCTTAAGCCCAGAAGACAGAGGTTGCAGTGACTGGAGATTGTGCCAATGCACTCTAGCCTGGGCAATACTGCCAGACCCTGTCTCAAAAAAAAAAAATTATATGGGGGTATAAGGAACCCAGAACAGGATAAAACAATCTTGAAAATGAAGAGCAAATTTGAGGACTCATAGCTTCCAATTTCAGAACTTACTACAGGCCGGATGTGGTGGTTCATGTCTATAATCACAGCCGTATGGGAGGCCAAGGCGGGCAGATTACTTGGGGTCAGGAGTTTGAGACCAGCCTGGCAAACAAGGCGAAATACCATCTCTACTAAAAATACAAAAAAAAATTAGCTGGGAATGATGGTGCACACCTGTAGTCCCAGCTACTCAGGAGGCTGAGGCAGGAGAACTGCTTGAACCCGGGTGGTGGAGGCTGCAGTAAGCTGAGACTGTGCCACTGTACTCCAGCCTGGTGACAAAGTAAGATTCTGTCTCAAAAAAAAAAAAAAAATTACTACAAAGCAGTAGTAATCAAGATAGTGTGATATTAGCAAAAAGATAGACATATACCTAGAATTGCAAGTTCAGAAATAAACTCATATCTACGGTCAATTGATTTTTTTTTTAATTTTGAGATGGAGTCTCGTCCTGTCACCCAGGCTGAAGTTCAGTGGTGTGATCTTGGCTCACTGCAACCTCCACCTCCTGGGTTCAAGCGATTCTCCTTCTAGCCTCCCAAGTAGCTGGGATTACAGGCACACGTCACCACACCCGGCTAATTTTTTGTATTTTTAGTAGAGACAGTGTTTCATCATGTTAGCCAGGCTGGTCTCAAACTCCTGACCTCGTGATCTACCCGCCTCGGTCTCCCAAAGTGCTGGAATTACAGGCGTGAGCCACTGCACCTGGCTGGTCAATTGATTTTTTTTAAATTACTTTTTAAAACAAAAAGCCCACATGCAAGCATATGGCCGATTGTTTTTTTAAAAGGATGCCAAGACCATTTAATGGTCAACCAATGGTGCTGGGATAACCAAATAGCCATATGCAAAAGAATGAAGTTGGACCTCCTACTAATACTGTATGCAAGTAAAAAATACACTTTTAGACAAAGCCTAGATTAAATTCCAGTCCTGACACTGGAAACCTGGGTAGATTTCTTAATCCTCCTTCCCTCCACTGTAGAAGGCATACAATAGTTGTGAAATTTTCTAGTGATTAAGTGAAACATATCAGAGGCAACTTTCTCTGCATTAATCTTTCAGGCACATATTTTTCCCCAAAAAAGCTACTCTGCAAGGGTGGAAATTCAAAAAGCTACTCTTCAAGGTACAAGTGGCTCTATCAATATGCTTAGTCATTTTTAAAATAAGAGCTTTATTGAAATGCTTGGTCAATTTCGTCTCCATTAGAATTCTTGCCAAACTGTACTGCTGTCTTTATTTGACAATTAAGATGTAATTTAACATTTTCTAATACAAGGCAATATAAAAGTGAAAGACAAAAAAGCTTTCAAATGAACAGTGATATGGACAGTATTGAACTATAACTGATCTGGCTCTCAAAAATACCTTCAGTTCTCTTTCTGGGTAGGGACTGATCTAGTGATCTCGTACAAGTTGTTTAAAATTTATATGCTATCTCAATAACTCCCTTTATACAAATGGAGAGAACTTTTATTTCTCTGGGGTAATACTCTTGAGATGAAAGCTATAACTGACTCATGATTTCATATCAGGACACAAGGAATAACATGAATGGCCCAATTTTCACACTGTAATAACAAGATCTTAGATGTGTATAACAACTATTCTGGAGTGCTTTCCACATCACGGATGTGGCCCATGCCATGATAATTGAATAAGATAGAGCAGATCTCACTCAGACAGGCTAAGCCTTGACAAGTCTGGTTGAGAAACCTCTTGGGAAGAGGATAAAAGACACACAACACAGTTGGTTTGCTACTCAACTCATGCAAGCCTCAGTATTATAATTCGAAAATCACTCAATTCAGTTAATACTTTACTAGGAATCTACCATGTACAGTCACTGACCTAGGTCAGTGAGAATTCAAAAGAAATATTACACGAGTCTTTGAACTTAAACACAGTTTCTCTATTTTCTTATGGTATCAAGGTAAAATATAGCTAAGCGTATGGAAAAGACAATCATCTGGGTTTTTTCTTAAGCCCTCCTTCCCTCCACTGTAGAAGGCATACAATAGTTACGAAATTTTATACTGATTAAGTGAAAACATAACTTGTAGAGTTTAGAAATAACAGAGCTCTGTATTGGAAACATTTCTGGAACAGGCAGGATTGAGCAAAGTATAATTTAGATTGGTGAGGGTGGGTGTGGGAGAGGGCAGGTGAGTGGGAAGAAGTAACGAAGGGCTCACGCCTGTAATCCCAGTACTTTGGGAGGCTGAGGCAGGCAGATCACAAGGTCAGGAGATCGAGACCATCCCGGTCAACACAGTAAAACCCTGTCTCTACTAAAATACAAAAAATTAGCCGGGTGTGGTGGCGGGCGCCTGTAGTCCCAGCTACTCTGGAGGCTGAGGCAGGAGAATCGCTTGAACCTGGGAGGCGGAGGTTGCAGTGCGCTGAGATTTTGCCACTGCATTCCATTCTGGTGAAAGAGCGAGACTCCATCTCAAAAAAAAAAAAAAATGTGGTAATGAAGGGAGCTTTGGATAGACAAGGGGAATGTGTCCAGGAACACGAATGGGGCACACCTCTGCTGTTCCTTTTTCCCAACACCTGCCACTTACTGACAATCTCTTGGTCTTTGTAAGCCTAGTTTACCAGGTTCTTCCTCTCCCATGAAGCTGTCCAAAGCCCTCCATCAGGACTAAGGTCTCCTACCTCTGTCCTCCCCAGCATGGTACGTATGCCCCTTCCATGGCACTTACTTCATTCCATCTTCAGTGAAAGTTGCTTACATGTCAGTTTCCCCAACTAGGTCTCCCTTTTCTTAAGGACAGGGCTGATCTTATTCATCTTTGTATCCCCTCCCACTACCAGTGCCCAACAAAATTGTTGATGCAAAGTTGCTATGTGTTCAAAAAAATGTTTTTTTCATTGAATTGAATGGGAGCTGAAGTAGGATAAAGTAGAACCAAATTATAAATAGGAATATAGGTCAGAGTTCATTCATTCAGTAAATATGTATTGAATGCTTACTGTGTGCCAGGCCCTGTTCTAGGCTCTGAGGATACATCTATGAACAAACCAGCTAAAAACCTCTGCCCTTGTGCAGCTGAAACTCTAGACCGTAAGGGATGGGACTAGCAATAAATTTACGTAAATTCAACCATACCTCCTAGAAAAAGACACATGCATGTAAATTATTAATGCTATAAGAATCTACTCTTGATACGCAGTTTGTATTTTTGTACTTAATATAAGCATAATATGTTCATACCTACATATAACTCTGCTGGGATTTAAACTTTAAGACTACAAAGAGAACTTTATTGGTAACTTAGGAGATATTCAAGGACCATTTTGAGCATACTCGATTTAGTCCTTAGGTACGGTCTTTAAAACCTAACCACCTTACAAGTTGTAAAATGAAGACTCTGAGACTTTTGGGCAAAAGAACCATTTTAAGTATTTGAGCATGAGAATGATGACAGGATGGATCCACGTTCTCTCAGACTAATCTGATAACAAGGAACAAGAAAGAGTACATTCATATGAATATACGTGGTCAGGCAACAGTGGAATTCGCATTAAGAATTTTTAAAAAACCAAACCAGTTCAAGACATGTCCCATTCTTTTAAGACAACTAAAACAGTAAGAGCTCAATGTCATAAATATTTATAAGCAACTCTTGAGTATAAAATCCAAAGGAAAAATTCTTAACATAACTGGCTTTAGTATGACTAAAAGTTTATCATTTTCATATATTTTTCAGAGTATTAAAAAAGAACACCGAGAAACCATTTTTAAATTTTGTAATAATTTTACTCTATATACATTAATACCAATCATTTAACCCTAAAAATAATCTTCACCAACACAATGTAAAAAATTTTTTTGACAGTAAACAACTAGAAATATTGCATTACCATAAAGCTACAAAGAGGTTCATGCTCCTAAGAGCAAAGTTAGGAAAACAAAAAAATAATAATTATGCCAGTGATGATAAGCACCAAGACAGAACTTTTTTGCACTTAGGGCCTGATTGGTTATATTTAAACATAGCTTCTACATTAGAGGGCCAAAAAACACCTTATAATAATGGCCAAAAAAAAAAAAAAAAGATAAAAATACACAAATACATACAAAAGGTCTGGAAACAGTGAAGAATGCCCACTTTAAAAATAATAAAACCAATTATACTCATTTTTAAATTAATGTGACATTTGTAAAATATATTTATATGTCACTTGTGTTCCTTCTTAGGTCACTTTATACAATTCAGATTGCTCCATTTTTGTTCATCAATTGTCAAACTAAAGTAAACAAATATGTTAAATTATGTAGGTTTGCTTTAATGAATCCAAACCACGAGAGCTAGATCTAATAGCTCCAGCAATCTTCCTTGCAACTCACTCCAACTGCTGAAACAGATTATTTATCTTTAAAATTTTAAAAGCCTTAGCCAGGTAAGAGATAGAGAGAGAGAGAGAGAGAGAGAGGGACAGAGTGTGTGTACAAGTTTGCCAGAGCACTGTGAGACAGTGAGTACCACCCAGAAAGAGGTGAGACATACAAACAAGTTTCCACAATGGTCCAACTAACCCCTAAAAGACTTGGGCAGTCAGACACTGAGTTACCCTCAAAATAAACCTGAGGCTGACCAATGGGGGAACCAGAGGATCTGTCACACAATTGAAGAGTCAGTGACAGGTTTGGAAAACAAAAACTAAAGTAGGATGTCTCAGGCACAACATTCCTGTGACACTGGAGGACACCAAGGAGCAATAGCCACTTTTCAGACAGGGATAAGGGACTGAGATCCCCTGGGTCTACAGCTGAAGGTCCCTGGCACTTCCCAGAGGGCACTTCAGCAGTCTCTGGAGGTGGCCCTCCACATTACCCACTGACAATGTCTTAGGGGACCCAGAGTGTGAACCTGGGCATCCCTCCTCGTGGTCCCAAGGGTGCTCCCAATACAATACTTTCCCTCCTGCAGGCTTGGCCAAAACCATCACTACCCTTTCACTTCCAACTCAGCTTCAGAAAGGGAATCTCCTGTCCTGTGGGGTCCCTGAGTTTGAGATAATGCCAACATACTGGAGGCTGTAGAGCAGTAACATGCGAAGTCAGGCAGTCACTTTAAAATTTAAGCAATCTGCATGCAGTATTAGCCAGTTGTTGTTATCTCAGTAACACTTCGTACCAAAGTAGTTTTTCCACACAACTTAAAAACGACAAAGAAAAAAATGTTGCTGGAATATGATAGACTTTTTAAAGTTCAGTGTTGAAACTCCTTATGGAAAAGAAAAGGAGACATTACTTTTCCACTTTCTATTTCCTGTCTGTGGCTTTGAGAAAAAAGAGCACTAAGGTTCCTGTGAAGCTATTTAAAGGTTCCCTCTGCCATTCCACCGGCACAACAATCCCAGGGAATTCCTGAGCTGTGTACCTCCTAAATTTGTAATCATAACTCTGGGCATGTCTATACAGCTCTCTAGTGCAGTTTCAAAATCCATAGCATTTGGAAACAAAATGACACAGTTGGATTCTTTAAATGCCAGCCATGAAATCATCACTTAAAAAAACAAAAAGAGACTAGATGGAATATATATATGTGTGTGTGGATGTGTGTGTGTGTGTCTATATATATAGAGAGAGAGACATACTCTAGATGGAATATGTGTGTGTGTGTATGTTTACACACACCATAGATGGAATATATATATATACGCACTAGCCGTAATATATATATATATATATATATGTATACACACACACACACACACACACGACGGAATATATATATATATATATATATATATATATATATATTTATCAAATAAAATCCTTTCATTTTTAAAGGTGTTTCGTTTGGTATGTTAAAGACATGCCTATGACTGCTTCTAAAAGCCCTTGGCAGGAGCCTCATATAGCATGCTGCAGTATGATATTTTGTCCCAATGTTGTCACGTATAATTTGGTGAATTTCAGTCACACCCAAATAATCAACCAACCTGTCCGAACATGCAACTTCTCTTTTTAGTCTCTGCAAAACTAAATTCCCTTCTTTACAAAATAATTAGATTTGAGGATCAAGTTAAAATGCACTATATTTCAAGTTAAACTCAGGCTTCTGCACAACTATAGCATGATTTTAAAGTCATGTTGGCATTCACTGTTCTGTATTTTCCTATGTGTATCCTAAATAAATTTCCTGGACCATATTTAGTGAGAAATTAAAAGAGTTTTATATTACACTGTGAAGTTTGAATAAATTCTCAGTTGATCAGGGTTTATCTCTTAGCTCTATGTCATACAACCTCTATATGACACAAGCATATGGACAAAAACGATTTTAAATACAAAACCCTTAGCTCTGTGTCATAAATAAATTTGGGTAAAAACGCAGGCCTTCCACTGAGTCATCACGGCAAAGATGGCCCATCTTCTCTGCAAGCAGCAACCTAAAACAAAAAAACAAAAAACCCCACACAATTATCTGTCCATGCAAAAACACAAATACACATTACATTGTAATGAAAGGTAAGAACCTTACTTACCTTTCTTTGGCCAGGAGGACAGACATTCCCACGAGCTTAGCAAACTCTTCTGATGTTAGGGATCCCTTTTCCGAAACCTAACAGAAACACACAGCAGAAAAAAATGTAATTCATGTAGGACACTAATTTAAACACACTCTGGGTACTAATAGTAGGCAGAATGTATACCAGTATATGCAAGAAATAATTTAATGTCCTACCAAATTCCAAAGACCATTCACTTTAGAACTAAATCTTAATACTTAATCCTACAAAAGTTGAAGGACCCAGAAGAGACATAGAAGAGACTAAAATGTCAAGATCAAGCTCTCTATAATGTAACAAAGTCACTGTACTAAAGCCTAAAAAGAACTATTCGATATTCTGAAAAAGAATATATAACAAATTCTGAGTACATATTACATGCTCCAGTGAAGGAACTTTATACATAGGTTTAGTTTAAAACATGTGGTAGAAATAGCTGTAGTCTTGGGGTTTTCATCTAGTTGAAAATGAGAAGGATAATAAATGGGAGTTATTCAAATTATACAGGCTCACCATAGAAGCTATAAAGACAGTACTATTTCAAGTATCCTAATGAGTAATACTGGTAGTTTGGCCAGTAAAATCCATCTAAACTACAGTTGCTTTTTATATTTTTTGAAGCAATTATTTTCATAAAACAACTTGTGGTGTTTTACAAAGCTGCTTATCTAGGTGTTAATGGAAGAAAAAGTTTAATTGTGTGTAACATCTGATAAAGTTAAAAATCTGTTCTCAACACTAAAATTTAATAGAAAAGAAAGCACCTAACTTTAATTATTCTTACATGTAAGATGTTAAGAGTGTCAAGAAATTTCAAAGAGCTCTTAATGTATGACTGGTTAATATTGATTCATTGTTAGTGATAAACTGTTTTTATTTGGGTGTGCGAAGGCTACTTTTCAGTAAAGTTAAATTCAAAAGGAAGTCCTGTTTTTTGAGTTGCAAGACTTTGGGTCTTCGTAGCTTTAAAGACTAGAGAATATTGGCTTCACGTACTGTCTCCAGGGCTGAGGCCACCATTTCCTCTTCTTTGTGAGACTGAAGCTCAATTACCATGACGCCACTGTCAAACACACGGAGCCTGAAAACCACAGGTGTGAGAACAAAGCCAGGAATTATCTAGGATATTCAACCGCTGAGAAGAAGCACATCTTTTTTTTTTTTTTTTTAAGATGGAGTTTCACTCTTGTTGCCCAGGCTGGAGTAAAATGGTGTGATCTCAGCTCACCACAACCTCCGCCTCCTGAGTTCAAGTGATTCTCTTGCCTCAACCTCCCGAGTAGCTGGGATTACAGACATGCGCCACCACGCCCAGCTAATTTTGTATTTTTAGTAGAGACAGTTTTCTCCATGTTGGTCAGGCTGGTCTCAAACCCCTGACCTCAGGTGATCTGCCCGCCTTGGCGTCCCAAATTGCTGGGATTACAGGTGTGAGCTACCGTGCTCGGACAGGAACACATCTTTTATACCTTCTTTTATGCCCAGGTATGAGGGTAACATTAAACAAGACAACATTTAAAACCTATCGAGCACAAGCAATGATGGCATAAACAGCTCACGAATACACAGAAAATAAAATTATGAACTAGAATCTACATGCTAAATAAAATGCCTGGCTACTTTTTTTTTTTTTTTTTTTTTTGAGACAGAGTTTCGTTCTTGTTGCCCAGGCTAGAGTGTAATGGCACGATCTTGGCTCACTGCAACCCCTACCTCCCAGGTTCAAGCGATTCTCTTGCCTCAGCCTCCTGAGTTGCTGGGATTAGAGGCATGCACCACCATGCCCAGCTAATTTTGTATTTTTAGTGAGACAGGTTTTCTCCATGCTGGTCAGGCTGGTCTCAAACTCCTGACCTTAGGTGATCCACCCACCTCGGCCTCCCAAAGTGCTGGGATTACAGACGTGAGCCACTGTACCCGGCCGCCTGGCTACTTTTTTAAACCAAAAAATAAGAAAAAGAAAATTCACAGCTGAACATCTCCAGAGACTAACACAAAATGTCTAAGGGAAGAGGGGCTATTCTAACCTCATGGGAAGAACCACACCCTATCTCATTCCCCCAAATCCACAAGAGTCTGACTACTGGCCCTGTAAGAACATGCCCAGCCCTGATAAAGATGAAATAATATAATTGCAAGAAGGCAATATTCTGGCTTGACACTAGGGATGGCAAACTTGGCTGGCGTTTCCCATCTACCCCATGCAGAATCATGGTTGCAGGTGGTGAACTTCCTGCAGAGGTTCCTTTACCTGAGAGGTAATTTCAGTGCTTCCAGCATTTTGCATGCATTCACTAAATCTTCTGGTGAGAGCAACTAAGAGGGAAAAAAAATTCCAGTAATGCTATATAATTGTAATGATCACTAAAACGGAAGAGTAAATTTTAAAATTATTTATCAATAATTTTATGTGATTTAATCACTACAAAGCAAAAAAGATTAACAAAGGAGCCAAAGACTTCTATTCATTAAAGTAGTACTACCCAATAAAATATGCATGCCACATGTTATTATAAATTTTATAGTAACCACATTAAAAAGTAAAAAGAAACATGTGAAATTAATTTTAATGCATATATTTTATTTAGTCAAATAGATTGAATATAGAACCAATGCAACATATAAACAACACAAAAAATTCTTAATGAGATGTTTAACATTTCATTACTTATTTTGTACGAAGTCTTTTCAATCTGGTGCATTTTACACTTGCAGCACATCTTGATTTGGATTAACTACATTTCAAGTCCCCAGTCACCATGTGATGTGGCTATCCTTTTGGACAGTGCAGCCTTAACAAATCAGCATGGTGTGGTGATAACAAGCACGGCTTTCAGTTCCACAGGATGGCTCCAGAGCCAGTCCAGCCTAGATCCAAATACCTGTCAAACTACTGTCTCTGGCTGTGGCCTTGCCCAAGTTATTTCATCTTTCTATTTTTTTTTTTTTTTTTTTTTTTTTTTAAGACAGAGTTTCACTCTTGTTGCCCAGGCTGGAGTGCAATGGCACAATCTCAGCTCACTGCAACCTCTACGTCCCAGGGTCAAGCAATTCTCCTACCTCAGCCTCCCGAGTAGCTGGGATGACAGGCATGTGCCACCATACCCAAATAATCTTTTGTATTTTTAGTAGAGACAGGGTTTCACCATGTTGGCCAGACTTGTTTCAAACTCCTGACGTCAGGTAATCCACCTGCCTTGGCTTTCAAAGTGTTGGGATTACAGGTGTAAGCCACTGCACCTGGCCAAGTTATTTCATCTTTCTAAGCCTCAATTTCCTAATCTCCAAATTATCCCCAACATGGGACAATAAAAGCAGCCATGCCACTGAGTTATTGGGAGGATAAATGTGTATGTGCAGAGTGACCAGTGGATGGTAAGTACTCACTGATGGCAGCTATGATCAGTATTCAGATAAAAACACAGAGCAGGGCTTAACTCATGGGACTGGGTGAGCCATTTGCATGGAGGTAACTGTTTGGGCACAAAGAGTACCTGGACAGTCTTGGAGGCCAAGGATATCTGCATATAAAGGAGCAAGGGCAGCTGAAGAATAGCCGCTGCTGATACACAGCCAACAGGGTGGGGCAGTTTTCCTCTGCATTATCTACAAGGCAACTTGTTCCAACCAAGTTGATTCAGAAGAGTTAACTATTGCAGAAGAAGGGCTTCCTGAACAACCTTATTTATCACAATAAAAACAGAAATATTAGAGCTGAACAGTTTCACTCAGTCGAAATCCTGATATTAAAAGTAAGAAAACTGGGCCCCTAAATGCTGGCAAGGATGTGGAGAAAGGAACTCTTACACACTGTTGGTGGGAAGGTAAATTAGTGCAGCCACTATGGAAAACAATATGGTGATTTCTCAAAAAACTGAAAACAACTATCACATGATCCAGCAATCCTACTGCTGGGTATACATCCAGAAGAAAGGAAAGGAGTACACTAAAGAGAAATCTGCACTCCCATGTTTACTGCAGCACTATTCACAATAGCCAACATCATTTGCAACAACAGGGATAGAACTGGAAGACACTGTTAAACGGAGTAAGCTAGAGCAAAAAGACAAATATCCCATGTTCTCACTCATATGTGGGAGTTAAAAAATGGATCTCATGCAGATAGAGAGTAGAAAAATGGTTACTAGAGGGTAGGAAGAGTAGTGGGGAAGGAGGGATAAAGCGAGGTTGGCTTAATGGGTACGAAAATACAATTAGAAGGAATAAGAGGCCAGACGCAGTAGCTCAAGCCTGTAATCCCAGCACTTTAGGAGGCCGAGGTGGACAGATCACATTATATGCTTGTATCATATACAACATGGTGAAATCTCATCTCTACCAAAAATACAAAAATTACCCAGGCATGGTAGTGGGTGCCTATAATCCCAGCTACTCAGAAGGCTAAGGTAGGAGAATCCCTTGAACTGGGGAGGGGGAGGTTGCAGTGAGCCGAGATTGTACCACTGCACTCCAGCCTGGGCAACAAGAGTGAGACTCCATCTCAAAAAAAAAAAAAAAAAAAAAGGTGGCAGAGGAATAAGATTTAGCATTCAGTAGTACAATAGGATAACTATAGTTAACAATAATGTATTGTATCTTTTTTCTATTTTTTTTTTTTTTTTGAGACAAAATCTTGCTTCTTTCGCCCAGGTTGGAGTACAGTGGTGCAATCTCAGCTCACTGCAACCTCCGCCTCCTGGGTTGAAGCAATTCTCCTGCCTCAACCTCCCAAACAGCTGGGACTACAGGCGCATGCCACCATGCCTGACTAATATTTTGTATTTTTAGTAGAGATGGGGTTTCACCATATTAGTCAGGATGGTCTTGATCTCCTGACCTCATGATCTGCCTGCTTTGGCCTCCCAAAATCCTAGGATTACAGGTGTGAGCCACCGTGTCCAACCCATATATTTCATTTTTTTTTTTTTTAATTTATTTGTTGAGACACAGTCTAGCTCTGTTGCCCAGGCTGGAGTACAGTGACACAATCTCAGCTCACTGCAACCTCTACCCTACAGGTTCAAGCGATTCTACTGCCTCAGACTCCCATGTAGCTGGGATTACAGGTGCCCCTCAACCATACCCAGCTAATTTTTGTATTTTTAGTAGAGACAGCATTTTGCCATGTTGGCTAGGGTGGTCTTGAACTCCTGACCTCAGGTGATCTGCCCACTTTGGCCTCCCAAAGTGCTGGGACTACAGGCGTGAGCCATTACCTCTGGCCCTATTGTATATTTCAAAGTAACTAAAAAAGTGGAATTGGAATGTTCCTAACAAAGAATTGATAAATACTGGAGGTGACAGACCCTCAATTTCCCTGATTTGGTCATTACACATTATATGCTTGTATCAAAATTTCACATGTACCCCATAAATATGTACAACTATTATGTATCCATAAAAAAGAAAACATAAAAATTTGGGGGGCCAGGCGTGGTGGCTCATGCCTGTAATCCCAGCACTTTGTTTGGGAGGCCGGGGTGAGTAGATCACCTGAGGTCAGGAGTTCAAGAGCAGCTTGGCCAACATGGTCAGAACCCTGTCTCCACTTAAAGTATGAAAATTCTCCTGGTGTGGTGGTGCACGCCTGTAATCCCAGCTACTTGAGAAGCTGAAGCACAAGAATTGCTTGAACCCAGGAGGCAGAGGTTTCAGTGAGCCAAGATTGTGCCACTACACTCTACAGAGTGATACTCTGTCTCAAAAATACAAAACAAAAAATTTAAAGATTAAAAAAAAATGTGGTACATATACACAATGAAATACTATTCAGCACAAAACATAATAAAATCCTGTCATGTGCAGCAACATGGATGAACCTGGAGGATATTATATTAAGTGAAATAAGCCAGACATAGCAAGACAAACACCACTTGATCTCACTTATATGCAGACTCTAAAAGAAGTTGATCTCATAGAAGAAGCTGGTAGAAGAGTGGCTACTAGAGGCTGGGGAGGGTAGGCAGGAGAAGGGGATGAAGAGAGGTTGGTCAACAGATACAAAGTTACAGTTAGACAGGAAGCATGAGTTCTGCTGCTATATTACACAGGGTGACTAGATAATGACAACGCGGTGTATATTTCTTTTTTTTCTGTTTCTGAATACCATGTTTTTTTGGTTTTTTGTTTTTGTTTTTTTTGAGATGGAGTCTTGCTCTGTCTCCTAGGCTAGAGTGCACTGGCGCAATCTCAGCTCACTGCAACCTCCACCTCCCTGGTTCAAGCAATTCCCCTGCCTCAGCCTCCTGAGTAGCTGGGATTACGGGAACACACCACCACTCCCAGCTAATTTTTTTTTTGTATTTTAAGTAGAGACTGGGTTTCACCATGTTGGCCAGACTGGTCTTGAACCCTTGACCTCAGGCAATGCTCCCGCCTCGGCCTCCCAGAGTGCTGGGATCACGGGCATGAGCCACTGAGCCCAGCCCTGAGTACTTTTTATTGATACATAATATTTTACATATTTATGGGGTATAGGGGCTATTTTTATTAATACACATGCATAAAATGTGTAATGATCAAGTCAGGGTATTTGGGTACCTATTACCTCAAGTTTTTATCATGTCTATGTGTTAGTAACATTTCAAGTCCTCCCTTCTAGCTACTTTGAAATACATAATACATTGCTGCTTCCCTCCTCTGCTACTGAATATTAGAACTTATCTAACAGTATGTTTGTACCCATTAACCAACCTTTCTTCTTTCTTCCCCCCTCCCACTTATATACCTTTCCCAGTCTCTGATATCTATCATCTATTCTCTACCTCCATAAGAATGAGTGAGAACATACACTATTTGTCTTTCTGTATCTGGCTTACTTCACTTGAGCTCCCACTGAGTGAGAACATGCACTGTTTGTCTTTCTGTGTCTGGCTTACTTCACTTAACATAATGACGTCCAGTTTCTCCATGTTGCTGAAAATAATGTGATTCCAATCTTTTTTTTACAACTGAATTGTATTCCATTTGTATGTATCTGACATTTTCTTTATCAGTTCAACCACTGATGGACACTTAGGTTGATTGTTTTTTTAACAAATATTTATTTTAGATTGGGGGTACATGTGAAAGTTTGTTACACAGATAAAGTCGTGTCACTAGGGTTTGTTGTACAGATTATTCATCACCTAGGTATTAATATTAAGCCCAGTGCCCAATAGTTAACTGTTTTGCTCCTCTCCCTCCCCTAAGTCTCCATCCTCAAGTATACTCCAATGTTAGCTCTTTGCTTCTTTGTGTTCATAAGTTCTCATCATTTAGCTACTACTTATAAGTGAGAATATGGCTTTCTGTTCCTACACTAGTTTGCTAAGGATAATAGCCTCCAGCTCCACCCATGTTCCCACAAAAGAATTATCTTAGCCGGGCACAGTGGCTCACGTTCCTAGCACTTTGGGAGGCCAAGGCGGGCAGATCACGATGTCAAGAGATCAAGAGCATCCTGGCCAATATGGTGAAACCCCGTCTCTACTAAAAATACAAAAATTAGCTGGGCATGGTGGCATGAGCCTATAATTCCAGCTACTCGGGGAGCTGAGACAGAATTGCTTGAACTCAGGAAGCGGAGGTTGCAGTGAGCCAAGATGGCACCACTATGCTCCAGCCTTGCAATAGAGCGAGACTCCATCTCGGGAAAAAAAGAAAAAAAAAAAAAAAGAATTATTTTGTTCTTTTCTGTGACTGCATATGACAGACAGGAGAGGATTTATTTAGAATGTTATTACCACAAATAAATGATAAATGTTTAAAGTGATGAATATGTTAATTGTCCCGTGATATGGTTTGAATCTATGTCCCCATCCAAATCTCAAATCTCATCTTGTAGCTACCATAATTCCCATGTATCGTGGGAGGGACCTGGGGGGAGATGACTGAATTATGGGGGCTGGTCTTTCCTGTGCTATTCTGGTGATAGTGAATGGGTCTCATGAGATCTGATTATTTTAAAAACAGTTGTCCTGCACAAGTTCTCTTTGCCTGCTGCCATCCACATAAGCTGCGACCTGCTCCTCCTTGATTGTGAGGCCTCCCTAGCTATGTGGAACTGTGAGTCCAATTAAACTTCTTTCTTTTGAAAATTGCTGAGTCTCAGGTCTTTATCAGCAGCATAAAAATGGACTAATACACCCTGATTTGATCATTATAAAATGTATACATGCACTGAAACACCACATAGCATGAATATGTACAATTATTGTGACAATTATAAAGAAAAATACAAAAAGTTTTGAATAGCCAAAAAAAAAAAAAGAAGGAAAACTGAGTCTCAGAGATGTTAAGTAAGCTACTGAAGGTCACTAAGCAAATCACTATCAAAACCAGGAAAAGAATCTGCCTCCTGGATCCCAAGGCAGTATTCTTTTCACTGTACCACAGTGCTTCTCAAAATAGCTCTGATATTCACAACCCTTCCTCAAATTGTATTCAGAATTTGTATTAAGAAAGTCTATATTTAGTTAAAAGAATATTTAAATTTTCTATTCTTACTTCCATTCCTCGAGCTCGGTTTACTAAGCAGTACACCTCTGTGAGTGACATTATTCCCCCTCGTTCCTGTTAAAATATGAAATTTTTTAAAAAGTATTATGTTACAATTACACCAATTAGCATTTCTTAACAGGAATCATAATCACAGGGAAATCAGAAATCTGAAATTTCTTTAAGAAGCTTATAAAAACTGTATTTATACAAAGGAGAACCTATTCAGGTACCACAAGGCAGTTCAGATTCACTACCTGCACTTTAATGTCATTACCATTTTATTTTTATTTTTATTTTTTGAGACAGAGTCTTGTTTTGTCTCCCAGGCTGGAGTGAAATGGTGGGATCTCAGCTCACTGCAACCTCCACCTCTCAGGTTCAAGCAATTATCCTGCCTCAGTCTCCCGAGTAGCTGGGACTACAGGCATACACCACCATGCCCGACAACTTTTTTTGTATTTTTAGTAGAGACAGGGTTTCACCATGTCGGTCAGGCTGGTCTCGAACTCCTGACCTCAAATGATCTGCCTGCTTCAGCCTCCCAATGTGCTGGGATTACATGCGTGAGGCACTGTGCCTGGCCTCATTACCATTTTAACATTTACTTAAATGAAAAAAGGGTCTCTATACCGTGTTTCAAAAAAATACATTTAAATGTTTTAACTTATTTCAGCTAATAAATGAAGAAAGCGTAGAATTAATAAGACCGTCACCATTTTGCAGCCCCCAATGAAATAAGAGATCTAGGCAATGACTGTCAATGGCTGTTAACATCACAACAAATTTTTAAAAAATTTAAAAAAAGACAATCAGACATTATATATCTCTTGATGGAAGTACACAACAGCTTCCATGAAATAGTCTTGCCATAATAATTGTTTAAAGCCCTAACAAACCTTTATTATAAATACCAGTTTATAGGAAATACACAGAACAGGAAAAGCACACTCTATAGGATAAACTCGTTTCTTCAAGAAACACATAGTGGGGTGGAAGATAAGAGAGGCAGGAAAAGAAAGAACCCATGAAATTAAAAACAAGCAAAGAAACTTGAGAAACAAATCAACAAACTACAATGAATCCTGACTGAAACAGACCAACTGTAAGAGAAAATGTGAACACTAGGCTGGGCACGATGGCTCACGCCTGCAATCCCAGCAATTTGGGAGGCCGAAGCAAGCGGATCACCTGAGGTCAGGAGTTTGAGACTAGCCCGGCCAACATGGTAAAATCCTATCTCTACTAAAAATACAAAAAAGTTAGCTGGGCATGGTGCCAGGCACCTGTAATCCCAGCTACTCAGGAGGCTGAGGCAGGAGAATCGCTTGAACCCGGGAGGCGGAGGTTGCAGTGAGCCGAGATCACACCATTGCACTCCAGCCTGGGCAACAAGAGTGAGGCTCCATCTCAAAAACAATACAAAAAAAAAAAAAAAGAAAGAAAGAAAGAAAATGTGAACACTAGATATTAGATAATATTAAGAAATTATTTTAATTTTTTTGATTATGAAATGGGATTATAGTTGTATTTAAAGGAGTCTTTATCATTAGAATTACATACCGAAATGTTTACAGATAAAGTGATGTGATGTCTGGGATTTGCTTTAAAATAATTTTGAGTGGAGGTTGGTTTACAGAAGAAGTTGGATGATGGGTACAGAAGATTCATTATACTATTCTATTTGTCATAGGTTTGAAATCTTTTTTAATACAGGTGCTTTAATGAACTTTTCATTGCCTAAATACTATCAGACTAGAAGATGAATCTGTTAAAAGAAATTCTTTCCATTCTTAGTTTGCTAAGAGTTTTCATCGCAACTGGTCTTTGTACTATCAAATACTTTTTCTGTATCCAATAAGTAGGTCATACGATTTTCCCATTTTTTCTGTTAATGTGATGAGTTACACTGATTAACTTTCAAATGTCAAACCAACCTCAACAAAAGCCAATTTGGTCATGATTGTTGGGGTCTTTTTTGTTGTTGTTGTACTTTGGGCTCTGGTGTACATGTGTACTTCCTGCATCCTGCAGGATTGTTGCATAGGTACACACATGCCAAGGTGGTTTGCTGTCTCCACCACCCCCCCATTGCCTACATCAGGCATTTCTCCCGGTGTTGTCTCTCCCTGCCCCCACTGTCCCTTCCCTCCCGTCCCCCCCAAACCTATTCCTGTGAGTGTTGTTCTCTTCTCTGTGCCCAAGTGTTCTCATTGTTCATCACCCACCTATGAGTGAGAACATGTGGTGTTTGGTTTTCTGTTCTTGTCAGTTTGCTGAGCGGGATGGTTTCTAGATTCATCCATGTATCTACAAAGGACATGAACTCATGGTTTTTTGTGGCTGCATAGTATTCCATTGTGTAGATCTGCCACATTTTCTTTGTCCAGTCTATCATTGATGGGCATTTGGTCTTTTTATATATTGATAAATTCAATTTGCTAACATTTTGTTTAGAATTCTTACATTTCTGGTTTTGAAAGAGATTGGCCTATAATTTGTATTTCTTATATGTCATTTTCAAACTTTGGTCCTAAGGTAATGCTAGCCTCTTAAAATTAGTTAGAAGTATTCTAACTTTTTCTACTCTCTAAAGAAGTTATGTAAGATTAGTATTAACTCTTCCTTAAATATTTCAAAGAATTCACCCACAAGGTTATCTGGGCCTGAATACTTCTTCATGGGAAGATTTTAAATTACAGAAGGAACTTATTTAGTAGTCTTGAGTCTATACAACATTGGCAGGTTGTGTTTAATATCATCTTCTTATATTTTTCATGCCTGCAAAATCTGTAGAAATGTTCCTTTTTCATTTCTGACGTTGGAATTGTGTGCTTGCTTGCTCTCATTTGCTCATGTTATCTCCCTCTTTCTTGCTATCCCTTTGATTTATTTGCTAGAGACCTGTCAAATTTATTATTGTTTTCCAAGATTTGGTTCTGTTGTTTCTATTGTGCATTCATTTTCTATTTAATTAGTTTTTCTTACATTTATTATTTACTTCCTTCTACTTTTGTAGATTTATTTTGCTGTGTTTTTTCTAGGTAAATATTTAGAGTCTTCATTTCAACCTTCAATAGTATGTATTTTAAAGCTGTAAAATTCTCTATAAACACAGCTTTAGTAGAAGCTATGGGTTTTAATATTATATTTTCATTATTATTCAGTTCAAAATACTTTCTAGGTACCATTACAAGTTCTTATTTGAGCTCTGATGTATTTAGAATTATATTGCTTAATTTAATAACAGTTCAGGGTTTTCCAGTTAACTGTCATTGATATTTAGTTGAATTTTACGGTTTCAGAGAATACAATCTGGGTGATTTTAAACCTTTGGCAACTTTATGCATGCTTTATGGCTCAGCATAACAAATGTTCCCTGTACACTTGAATTAAAAAAAAAAAAAGAAGATGAATCTGTGTTATGGAATGATTAATAGTACTATATAGTAAAGACTATATAGGTGAAATTTATCTATACAGAGGAAGATCATACATTTCCTTTGAAAAATAAGGAAAACTTCTATAGATTTAGAAAGTTATAGATGTCAAAAATGAAAATTAAAAACAATTTAGAAAATTACAGATAAAGAATAATAAGCACAGTGAACTAATTTAATATACCTGAAAGAAAAAAAAAGTCAGTTGACAATAACCATATCATGAAAGGAGTTATGCTCTTGTTAACATTTCTGATGACATAGGGCTAATTTAACACAGTTTAAAAAGGCATATAGGTTTAGTTTTTACCTCTAAAGGTGCCTGCAATATTCCAGCCAGCTGTTTGGCCAGCTGCATGTGGTACTGTGTGCCTGAGCCGTAGGTTTCTCTGGTAACTGGATTAGCTATTCCCATGCTTAGTAAGTAGGATTTAAACCTTATGGTCTATAATAACAGAGGATAAAATGCAGAATTAGTCTCTCTACCCCAATATCTGAAATTCTTCCATCATACACTGAATTCCATTGAACTATTTCTATATATACCCATTCCTTCTACTATGTTTCCATGCTGTGAACTGTAAGGGAACAGATTTCCAGGAGTTCCCTATATACATCTAATTATTCTCCATCCTACTTCTCTCCTGGTCTCTCATATTCTATTTACTTAATAAATTTGATGCGAGAGGAGATTCTGATAACGACTGTGCTATATTTAATGCCAACCAAATAGTACAATGGAAAACTTAGGAAAATGGCAGTGATTAGATTTTAGACAAACTGAATGAAACAAACATCAAACTTAGGAATATGTATAAAACAGCCACTCCTTGTATAAGGAATATACAATATACTGAAATGTATATTTCAGTATCTCTGTTTTCTACACTCTAAAAAAAGGCACTGAAATAGACTTTAATCCTAATAGAACTAAGAGAATTTTTATGATTGACTTTTTCTTTAGTACTTTCACATATCCCCAAGTCCCAAAAGAAATAAAACAGTACATTCAGAAAGCCAATGTAAACCACAGAAACCTCACTGCATTATTTGTGTCATATTGTTTCAAATGCCTTTAAAAAAAGCAACTTATTTACCTCATCTTCTGTGATGTCACCTTGTTTGTCTTTAATTTTATTAGCAATTGATTTTGATAACTCCACCATTTCCTTAGCCTGTCAAATAAAAAGACTGAAAAGCAATATTGTCCCCAAACTGTCTGCTAATAAAATATGCTTCAAAAACTGTATTATAATTCGTATGAACTTAATGGGCATAAATGACATATACCTTGATCATTAGTTTGCTGAGGTCTTCAAAGGCCTGAAATGAGAAATTAATTTTTGTTGAAATCCATCTAAATAATTAAAATGACTTAAAGCAATGAAATACCCTCTATTTTTTCCCTATGATAAAAATTTGAAATTTTCTTACAAATATCAATTTGTTAATAAATATTTATAAAGTAATACATCTACCTTATTCTAAAATTTCATTTTAGCTAAAACCCATAAATTTAGGACCAGGAGCAGCAGCTCACGCCTATAATCTCAGCACTTTGGGAGGCCAAGGCAGGTGGATCACCTAAGGTTAGGAGTTTGAGACCAGCCTGACCAACAAGGAAAAACCCCATCTCTGCTAAAAAAAAAAAAAAAAAAAAAATACAAAAAACTTAGCCGGGCGTGTCGGCACATGCCTGTAATCCCAGCTACTCCAGAGGCTGAGGCAGAAGAATTGCTTGAACCTGGGAGGTGGAGGTTGCAGTGAGCCGAGATCGTGCCATTGCACTCCAGCCTGGGCAACAAGAGCGAAACTCCACCTCAAAAACAACAATAACAATAAAAACCCATTAATTTTCCAAACAAACAGTAAAAAAAACTTCACATTTTCAAAGAGAAAATAATTATTATTGATTAAATAAACAAAAGGTGACATAAACTGTAGTTCAGAAAATATTATTTACTGTTATTTGAGACAAAAGTAAGAAATTCTGTCACTGGTTTTTCCCAAAATCATTTCCTAATAGGAAGTCAAGAATCAAAAGCACTATAAAGCTTTCCTGGTTGAAAATTGTAATACACAGCTGTAGGAATAGTCTTTTGGGAACAATAATTTTGGCTTTCCTGGTTGAAAATTGCAATACACAGCTTCAGGAATAGTTCTTTGGGCATGATAATTTTGGCTTTAACACAGGTGTGATTTAACTGAAACAGTAAGTCTGGCCTCTGACTATCAAACCCATTATACTTGTAGATATGGTGGATATCACAAAAGAAAAACATTTAAATACCATCTAAAGGTATCTACATAGAATCAATTGTTTAATTTGCTACAGCAAATAACTACTTCAAAGGCCTTTTCAAATTTAATTATATTTATAATAAATTATTTCAATTTACTGAAAATATACAGCCAGTGCAGAATATCTTATCTAATTGATACATACAGATGTTACTTTTCAAAACCAATTAAGCAGCATGCCATTAACTGAAATACCAGTCCACATGGTAGTCTGAAACATATAATAGTGGCTCAGATCAGCTTATGCCCATCTGCAGGAAAGCATCCCCCATCTGCAAAAGGATTTTGCTAAAAGAATAGCGTGTTGTGTATTCTTATGGCCAACTCACTAAGGTTAATACTGAAAACAAAGGGGAATGTGCACACACCTAACAGGAATTTCCTTAGATATACAAAAGGCTTAAACACTGGATTCTTATCAGCTAGAGCAGGCAGATGCAGGAAACCCTTTATGAGAAACTCTGGGCACCAGCTCTGAAACTAAGTCAATTTTAACATTTAAACAGAGGGCAAATCACACACCAACCTAGTTTTCAAAAATAAAACACACATTTTGCACGCTTAGATTTTTACTTTTAATATATAAGATATTAATAGATTTCTTTTACCTGTGTTAAGAAAACTGGTAAGACAACACTTTTAAATTTTATATGGTAAATCACTGTATTTATTATATTATGTTGTTGTCGAAAAAATACGCTAAGTTAATAGTGGGTGCACAAGGAATACATGAATAAGCCCTTTAATCTTACACATAGGCAATAAAAATATAGTAAATATTTTAGTGCCTTAAACAAAAGTCTATAAATATTTTAAGTGATTATTAAACACAGCGAAAAGCTTCCTCACTTCTATTTCTATAATTATTGTAAAATTTGGAATTAGTCAACTATCAAAAAATGGGTAAAGAAGCTACCTACAATAAAAATTAAAGCAAAAGAGATGCACATAGCCATTCTATAATTGTATCTGCCAGTTTACGGAACCTCGTATCCCTCTACCACACCTGTGGTCAAATTTCCACTTCAATTCTGAGAAAAACAGTGCCTGTTTTAAAACCAGGAGTACCCTCCTAAGCTAACTTACGGCATGATTTCTTACTTATTTTTAGTTATGACTTTGGCTATTAGCATCAGTAACAATATATTCTTGATTTTCCATTTCAGTACTCTCGAATGTGCCTTGCATATTCCATTCCCTTTTCCTGGGTTCTTATCCATGCTAGTCCTCTGCTAGAGCCTATTCACCTTTCAACCTTTGACTTCCATATTCCTGCTGCTAACATACCCTCGGTGACCTCAGAAGAAGTTAGGGATCATGTTATATGTCCCTGCTGCAGCCTGTATGTTCTCCTCAAAAGGTGTTTCTCCCACTGAATAATGCCTCTTTGCCTGTGTCTGTGCATCACCACAGTATCCACAGCCTCTGATACGAGGCCTGGCACAAAGTAGGGAGGAATATCTGCTGAATAAATTAATGATCTGCATGGTTAATGATCTGCTGAATAAATTAATGATCTATATGGTGGAGCACAATGTTTATGTAGAATCCTTTGAGTTATGTGACTCCAAGAAAATTAGACCGAAACAAAATAACTTACATTATAAATTAAGAAAAACATTATTTTCAACAAAGCATTGAGTTAGTATGGCACTATTCAGAAAGAAAAATACAAATAATGGAAAATTAGGCCATTGCTCCATGCCATCTCCAAAAGTGTTGACATAAAGAGAACGGCGACAGGCATTGCTGAAAGAGGACGGTGACAGCACCTTCTAGGTGGTGAAGAGAGCAGTGATGATGTGGTGCACTGTTATCACCAGCAACTGCCTGCAAACCAGGAGACATGGGCTCTCATCTGCTTCCTTCCAAATCTAGTCACTCACTCTGAGACAATTTCTTCTCTGAATAATAAGGAGACTTCTAATGCTAAAATGTTGAAATTTTATCAATCTTCTCAGAATAGATGATTCTGAAAAGATGGTGGCTATGGCAGCACCTTTTTTCAATCTCTCCAGATCACAATATGAAAACAGACAGGGCAACTAGTTCTCAAAACCAAAAACCCCATAGGTAACATATACTATAATACTAAGTGTTAGAATACTAGCAAAACTCCCCCAAGACACAAGCAGTTGGGGCAAACTGCTAAGAGCCACAAGATCTGCAGGATGCTAGCATCTAGGCTAGAGAAAGAAAAGAAAAGCAACAATGTAACCGCACACCTGAGAATGAGAGAGCCCCAAGAGGGCCAATAGGGATTCACCAGAAAGCAAGGCAGGCCAATTTGAGGACACTGCCTAAAATGGGAGGGTTGTGCCTACTTCAATAATAGGAGGGTCTGCTATCAACCTTTTATTTCAAAATAAGCTAAAAGATGTTAAGAAGATGATACAAGCTATGAAGGATCAATATAAATCAGAAACAGATGACGGGATTCAGAAAAAAACTGAAAATAAAAGGAAAAAATCATTTCAGAAATAAAGGCTACACTAGACAGACATGAGTGAATAAACACAACAGATAAAACTTTCAAAGAAGGTAAAAAAGAGGAAAACTTTCTAAATAAAAAAGGAAGAGCATTAGAGTCACAAATAGTGACTCTAGAACAGAAGACAGGCAGTGAAACTGCAACATACAGCTAATAGGAGTCTCAGAAGAAAAGAATCAAAGCAATTATTGAAAATTATAGGCTGGGCATGCCAGTACTTTGGGAGGCCGAGGCGAGTGGATCATGAGGTCAAGAGTTTGAGACCAGCCTGGCCAATATGATGAAACCCCATTTCTACTAAAATTATAAAAAATTAGCCAGATGTGGTAGCACGTCCCTGTAATCCCAGCTACTTGGGAAGCTGAGGCAGAAGAATTGCTTGAACCTGGGAGGCAAAGGTTGCAGTGAGCTGAGATTGCATCACTACACTCCAGCTTGGGAAACAGAATGAGACTCTGTCTCAGAAAAAAGAGAAAATTACAATACAGAAAAATTTCCCTGAAGTTAAAACATTCCTGAAATGAAACTATATACTGAAAAAGCACAGCATATACCTAAGAATAACAACTCAGAATGACTAATACACAGACACATTCCAGTAAAATTACCAGGCTTTAAAGTAAAATTTAAAAATCCTTTGCCCATCTAGGAAAAACAGCAAGTAGCTTTTAAGGGGAAAAATTTAGGTTATCATCACTCTTTAACAGCAACACTTCATGCCAGACCAAAAAAAAAAAAAAAAAAAAAAAAAAAAAAAGTAATATAATGAAGGCACTCAAAGAAGGAAAACGGGAGCCAAGGATTTAAAATCCAACAAAACTAACCTTCATGTATAAGGAAGACAAACATGACAGATACAGGGTTGTTCTATGATCATTTCCTAAAAAATCTACTACCAAATAAGCTTCAGACAACCAAAGTGACTACAGAGAGCTCTGCATAAGGACTGTTGGTACGAAACATAGAGGTATGTAAAACGAAGACTCAATGAGAGCTAGAGCTGGGGCAGAGGTATATGTGGTGGCTGCATGCTCAGATTGTGTAAACACAGTACACCTATTTTTCAAATGTACGAAGAATGGGGAAAACACATATACAAATTTTTTTAAACTGTTCTAGTAATTATTTGGTAGTGTCATCCTAAATTTGAATAGAAAAGATAAATATGCTCTCATTAGGTACTTTATATTGACAACAACAAAATTCTAGCTCTGTCCATCGAAAAAGCCTAGAAACAAAGATCAACTCAATAGTGACGGATATGACTAGCAGGCAGATTGTGGTTCTAAAATATCATTTCACACTAAAAGAAACCAGAGCTTCTCAGATAAATGGTGGATTCCAGATCTGGAGGAGGGAATGTACAAGCTGGTCCTGGAACTTTTGTCACATCAGATAATGAAGAAGTTAGCAAAGTTCACAAAGTCACAACAAAAGCACTCAGAGGGTCAACTTGAAGCAGCTCCCACTAGCCAAAGAGGGGACAATTTGAGCTTCAAAGAGGATAACTGTAATTGAGATAAGATGTGCCTCCGACAAAAGAACACAGCATCACCTCTAGTGTTGCCAAAGGGACAGAACATGAGTGTGATAGAGATTCTGGATCCAGCTGCCAATTTGGAGAAGGAAAACACATAGCTTCACCATAGATACACAACCAGAAAAACCTACTATGGGCACTTAATAGGTCAAAGGCCCTTGGTTCTCCAACAGTAATCTATATTTTCAATTAGTGAGCCCAAAATAAGTATTCAAATAACTATTTGTAGTTTTAGACTTTACCTGATTGACATAAATCTTTGAAATTCTCTGAACAGCAACCATCAGTTAAATTTTACTTATGAATTACTATAAAAACCAAAGATTTAAAGCATCATTTTGTGAAAAAAACCGAGACCATTTTTTATATAAACATGGAAAAACCAATGATACGTTTAGCTGTATTAACTAATCCAATGCATAACTGTCTTTTTAACCAGAGTTCTTTCCCGTTCTCTTGAATTTCCTCATACATGATGAAGCCTCAGAAACACTGGAAGGTACATGCTCAAGGCTGTCTCCTAGTAGATGTGATGGGCTGGTTTGAGCCATTCTTACTGATGTCTGGTGTCTGATCCCTGCGTGGTCATCAACATAAAATGGTGTGGTATCTGGGCACAGACAGTGGCCACAGAACAGCATTTTTCTCTTAAGTTACCTCAACTTCCAAAATAATTATACAGAGAACCCTGAACTCATTAGGAGTATCCTCCAATCAATTCCATCTAGACTTTAAAATCTACATACAACATTCTATGATGTTTTCTAACAGCAAACAAATTTGCATTTCTTTTTTATTCCTTTTAGAAAAAGGTTTTGGTTAGATTTTGCCAGCCCGAGGTAGACCTGTTAAAGAGAATAGTAGACTATGTAGCTTCAGGCAAATGAAATATATTCTAAATTACAGAAGGGAATTAGTCACAGCTCTATCCAAAATAATACACACAAACGGCTGGAATAGATGGAGAGCAGAACTTAACAGTTACCTCAGAAATGTTTTTGTCAGTTTCTTTTCTTTTTTCTTCCAGTTTCCTTTCAATGCCTACAATTCCTACAGCCTTTATTCTTCCTGGCTGAAAAAAAAAAAAAAAAAAGAAGTAGAAAATAAAACATACAAAATAGGAAGGAAACAAAATCTTTTGTAACCAACTACATTGTGTTTTCAATAGTGATAAGGACCCACAAAGAACCAAAGAAAAACAGCATACACTCATATTTAACTTCCTTTCAAAATATTTGTTTCTTTCTTGCTGTACATAATGATCTTCAAATCATTCAAGAAAAACCAAATATACAATAAATGGCATATTTTACTAAGCATTTTCAATATAAGTTAAATTTCCTATCATTTTCATTCTTTGACGAGCTATTATGTATCAGATATTTACACATATTATTATTATCTTTTTTTGTCTTTTTGTTTTTTTCCTTTTTGGGGAGAACGGGGTCTCGCTATATTGCCCAGGCAGGTCTCAAACTCCTGGGCTCAAGCTACCTTCCCGCCTCTGCCTCCCTAAGAGCTGAGATTACAGGCATGAGCCACAGCGCCCGGCCAGATACTTAATAGGGTCTCAAACATACAAAAAAAAAAAATCACAGTTTAAATTTCAGTTCTTAATTAACAGTTATTATCCAAGCTACTGTCATACATTTGAGTACCTGTCTAGTGTTGGCGATTAATTTAGACAGGCCTGGAAAACACCCAGCTGTACTGTTTATTCTCTCAAATGCCACACTGATTATGAAGAACAGAATGCAATGAGTGAACTCTCCTTCTATCACCCTGAGAATTATGCTGGTAAGCAGTCGTTTATGTTTCCTAAGTGTCTGCTGTCTACACAGAACTAAATTAGGTGCTGTGAAATAATTTTTTTTTTTCTTTTGAGACAGAGTCTCGCCCTGTCACCCAGGCTGAAATGCAACGACACAATCTTGGCTCACTGCAACCTCTGCCTCCCAGGTTCAAGCGATTCTCCTGTCTCAGCCTCCCAAGCAGCTGGGATTACAGGCACACACCACCATGCCCAGCTAATTTTTGTATTTTTAGTAGACATGGGCTTTTACTATGTTGGCCAGGCTGGTCTCAAACTCCTGACCTTGTGATCTGCCCTGCCTCAACCTCCCAAAGTGCTGGGATTACAGGTGTGAGCCACCACGCCCAGCTGAAAAAATATATATATTTTAAATCAAATACCATTGCAGTATTTTGTTTTGGGGAAGTTCTACAATCACAGAATCTTTTTCTTAATGAACATGTAAGTACAAAGTTGAAAATACTGGATTACCAAATAGTTAAAAAAAATACCTGGGGTCCTCTATTTGTTTGTAATGACTGGGAAACTGGCATATTCTCCCATCTTCTCTGTGTCATTTCCTCTGATAAACGCCTGTAAAACTGTTATACAAATAAATACACTTTAAATGAGTCAGTCAGGTTGTGGCATCCTTGTATAAATCACTACTTAACATTTCTTTAATATAAAAGTTTGTTCAGTTATTTGCAGCAAACCCAAAATTCTCAGAGACATCAAAGAAAATCAAAGGAAGTTCTTTTCTTGGATCAACTTCAGAAAGCACAAAGAAAAAAAAAAAAGAGAAGGAATTGACCTTCTATATAAAGTGGGCTATTCTCAACAAATAGCTGAGTGACAATGAAATCAATAGACTTACTTTAAACAATCCTGTGTATGTGGATTGTTTTTGATCTATAATGAAACAAACACAGTGCCAGGAAAAATATACAACCATTCTCCATGAAGGAAGCAGATAATTTGTCTAGTTAAAATATAAAACCAGAAAGTAAGACCAAAACATACCTATGCTCACAAATAATCAAATATATTTTTCAATTTCAATGACAAAAACTTTAGTCAATCACTTATATCTGCTTAGTGATCACTTCTCAGGAACACTGGGTGAGGTGCTACAGAAAAAATTAATGATATTTATTTAAAAATTTATGATATTGATGGGGAGAATAAATACACACTTCTAATGTCTTAAGAATACTTGTACAGCAACTTATTCAGAACATATAAACTATCATACTGCAGAAAAATACTTAAGTGATTAAGATTAACTGGAGTTAATCAAGACAGACAGCCTGATTTAAAGCTGGGGAACCTTCAGATACTGAGACAGTTTAACATATCACTGCATTTACACTCTGTTCCTTTAACTACAATATGTCACTGAAAACTGTACTAGTAGGTGAATGGCATGACTTAGTGTATTTTCCAGCCTCTGTTCCTTCCTTGGGACCACACCCTCTGCTTCCCATTCCTGCTGAAACCTAAACTTCACCATTCACTGCTAAGGCTTAAGATATAATAAAAATTTTATTGTAAAAATATGGTGAAATCTGGCATGTTTTATAATACTACCTTCCATCATATTAACAAGCCACAACACACACATACACATACACACACACACACACACACACACACACCCACACCCACCCCACCTTTCTAGTAGGATTTTATTCATATAGAAACTTACCTCAATCTGGCCATGTTCTTTGAAGGACAGTTTGATGTAGGAGTTCTTACTACTCTGGAATGGGCCAGGTTCTTTGTTAGGAGGAGCTGGGTGAAGATGAACCACTATTTTGGCACTAAAGAAACAACAAATGTAATATATTGAATTGCCTTTCAAAAAAAAAATTCTACCTTCATAACTTTTAATGTATTTAAAATCACTTTTATAATTCATGTAGAAACAAACATCCCAAAAAGCATCCTTTTAAAGTGTGTATTAGTTCTATATTAATGAAGCTTTCAAAAATCTCTCTACTTAAAACTTAAAAGCTATGAACCAAAAAGCTTCAAGTTACCAGTTCTATAAATTAAAGCGTTGCTTCAGAAAATAAGTCAAAATAAATTTGCAAAATTTGAGTTTATGATTATGGTTTTCCAACTACAAACATCCCCAGGGGTGCTATAAGGGGGCCTACAATTTCTGCCAAAGCATGCAACCTTATTCATTTGAAAACAAAATGTGAAAACTTATCTGTAAAAATGGCCAGCTGATATTTTATTAAAACTCCATCCAAAGCTAACATTCTACAGTGTCATTTGTTGGAAAATGCCACTCAATCAACAGCATGATCTAGAAAGATATCCAATAACAAAAAGAATTCCCAAAATGCTTCGACTCTAAGAACACAAACTACCATTATCTTTATGACTACCATTATCTTCTAAAAATACCACTATATTTGGTCAGCTTAATAAGTCTGTTTTCCTCCTTTTTCTTCAACCTGGTCAATAAGCAATCTTCCATAAAGATTAGGGAAACTAAAAAACTCTAAGCATCCCGGGTACCTAGTTTAGTGCTTTTTCTTTATTAATCATGCTATAGATACACAACTATTTACTCAATTTTACTTTTACTCTTTTGGAACCATATGGTTACCTAAATATCACTGTAAAATTGAAACACCAGGCATTGGGCCTTGTCAATATGAATATATGGGGGTCAGCCTTGTAAGGACATCACCTATTCCCTTGTGTGTGAAATGAAAGAAGCATCTTTAGTTCAGAGACGTTAAAAGGTGAAACATACACATCCTGAAATCCAACCAAATATGACTGTTTGAGGGGAGGGACTGGGAACTAAAGAGAATACTTGAGAAAAGTTAACTTGGCATATTACTGAAGTCCTCCTCACTGGAGATGTTTAAAAAATACAATACTAACGTGAAGGTAAATATTTTAAATATTTCTTTTAGTTTAGATTTCCTTGGAACACAGGAAAGGAAAATTAAATAACCTGGAACAACCTTAATACAATGGAGAAAAGTGATAAGGGAGAAATATAAATCATAAAAACAATCTACCCTAAAAATCTATGGCTTAAAAAAACTATGGCTTATTAATCTTTTTAAAATGTTGGTTAGTTTCTTTTATGTCAAATAAATATTTTACAGTAAATCATAACATTATGATCAAGGCATGTATTTCATGTCCAGTGAAGCTCAACATTGTTTAACTTCTACTGAAGCGTCTAATTATGCTAAACCTAAAGATAAGGCTCCATAGGAAAAAAATATTCCCATGCCGATAACATTTGTTTACATGTCTCCTCAATTACATGTACTTAAAATATAAAGCCAAGTTTTCAGTACATTTGAATAAACAGGAGCATTTGAACTTAGGCCTTTATACCAGGGTGGCCTCATCTCCTGGCTTGACTGGGACACTCCAATTGTATCCCTGTTGCCCTGGTCTAACTGTTCATTATACCTCCTGTTATTCTGATAAATGTCCTGCTTTGTACAATAACTATTATTATATGCTATTCAATCGTGCTATCTGAACAAGTCAAACTTAAGAAACAAACTTAATGATCAGCTAGAAACAGGAGCAAAGTCAGTTATTTTTTTCAATAGATTACTTCTGATGTTAAGTATGAAATGAAAGGTACACAGGCATTTGAAAGCAAAGTGTCTATGGAAAGACAATGATAACTGGGCTACATTTCTTTATTATGACCCACATATAACAAACAAAGTACAGCAAACCTAGGTACTTTATTCATGATTTAAGAATGAATTCACACATCATTGAGTCTAAGATAGGACCTCTTGACCAATAGCATGACAGGAAATGTTTTCTGTGAATAAAGACAGTACTATATAGACCTTACCTCTTCCCAATTCCAGCTGCCTGTTCTTCAATGAACACAATTTGGGAAAGAAGAATGGCCATGCAGCATTCCTAGGAGGGAATCAGTAGCTCAATCAAAGACTCTACCCAACATCCATAACACTTGTCAGAAATCCTTGTTTTATAGCATTAATCAGTGTCATATACCTTAATAAAAATGAAAAACAATAATGATTTTATTCCTTAAAGGAACTTAAGGAAAAAATAAATGAAAACAATACTGTGGTGGCATTTTCCTGTGTGGAAGAACATAAGAAGTTTAAAAGAAGCTGTGACTAGCTTTTGTTTTTAAAATGGGTGGATTTTCTAAGAGTAATATTTCTATGAAAATTTTTTACTTGTAATATTTTCTTATAGTGAAAGCAAAAAATGAAACAGATACATCAAAATAATTTTAAGGGGAGCATTTATGTAGATGACTTTGTCTTCTTTATAACTTTCCACACTTCACTCATATGCCCACATACAACTATTAATAGTTTTAAACAGAAAATATTGATGCAGCATCCCTTTATTCGTATGTTTAATTTTTTTTTTTTTTTTTTTTTTTTTGAGACAGAGTCTTGCTCTGCTCCCTGGGCTGGAGTGCCGTGGCACAATCTTGGCTCACTGCAACCTCTGCCTCCCAGGTTCAAGCAATGCTTCTGCCTCAGGCTCCTTAGTAGCTGGAATTACAGGTGAGCACCACCACACCCAGCTAATTTTTATATTTTTAGTAGAGACCAGGTTTCACCATGTTGGCCAGGCTAGTCTGGAACTCCTGACCTCAAGTGATCCCCCTGCCTTGGCCTCCCAAAGTGCCAGGATTACAGGCAGGAGCCACTGTGCCTAGCCAGTATGTTTAATTTTTAACATATATAAACAGTATGTTTAATTTTTGTATTTGACTAGCAATGTAGTTAAGTCTAAAGATTTGTTCAAATTGACCTCTTTATATGATAATCAAAAAATTATACTAAGATTAACTTATCAACATATGGTTTAAAGACATCCATTCTATTCTCCCCAAAAAGATTTATTACCTGAATATATATTACTTTCAAAGGAATTAGACAATATTAACAGTCTAAGGCAGAAGTCCCCAACCTTTTTGGTACCAGGGACTGGTTTCATGGAAGACAATATTTCCTGGGGAGCAGGAGTTGTGGTTTCAGGATGAAACTGTTCCACCTCACATCATCAGGCATTAGATTCTCATAAGGAGTGCATGATCCCTCATATGTGCAGTTCACAATAGGGTTCATGCTTCTATCGGAATCTAATGCCTCTGCTGATCGGATGGGAGGCAGAGCTCAGGTGGTAATGCTCACTCACCTGCCACTCACCTCCTGCTATCTGACCTGGTTCCTAACACGCCACAGACCAGTACTGGTCTGTGGCCTGGTGGAGTTGGGGACTCCTGCTCTAAGGCATGCATTATCAACAGGGGCAATATCAGACCTAGGAGACAAAAGTTAGTTCCTGGGGTGCAAAAAAGTTAGATATTGTAATGGTTAGGAGTAGCCCTTCAAGAGCTACAATACAGTATATAGTTTATTTGTGGTACTAAAATTTCAGGGGGTTTGGGGGAATAATCAGGAAAATAAAAGCACAGATGAGATAGCTATTTTACTGGCAATGCTGAAATCAATGTATATATACTTTCAGGTTGAAGCTCTTGGGAATAAAGATATCAGCTCTATATACATATAATTCACTCTCCCTTCGTAAAAAAACAAACAAACAAACAAAAAAACCAGGCTGGGCACGGTGGCTTACGCCTGTAATCCCAGCACTTTGGGAGGGTGAGGTGGATGGATCAGGACCTCAGGGGTTCGAGACCAGCCTGATCAACATGGTGAAATCCAGTCTCTACTAAAAATACAAAAATTAGCTGGGCATGGTGGCAGGCAACTGTAATCCCAGCGACTCAGGAGGCTGAGGTAGGAGAATTGTTTGAACCTGGGAGGCAGAGGTTGCAATGAGCCAAGACTGTGCCACTGCACTCCAGCCTAGGCGACAAGAGTGAGACTTGTCTCAAAAAAAAAAATGGGTGTGGGGGAATCCTCTTGCTGACTCAGTTAGAAACAGTTCTCAATATCTAGGTAAAAGCATGCATTTGCTGGCAGACCTAGCCTCCTGATTCTCAACAACAACCTAGGACAACTAGTGGTTTTAAGAATCTACGAGCTCTTTTTAAAGGCTCCCTCACAACTGATGGGGGAATTATTCCCCTGTTACACATGGAACATTCAGATATAGAGTAGAATTTGACTGGTATTTAAAAAACATGATTCTCCATCCAGTAACTACATGGACTTTTCTGGAACTGAATAAAGGACAACACGCTAACTCCTGTTTCCCACTCCACTCAGAGAAATTATATGGGACATACTCTTTTGTCATTCAGAAAAGGAAAACTTATTATTGCATTCATTATATAAGTTTTACCAGAAATGAAAAAAGAAGAAAATGCTTCAGAGATTTAAAACCTACCGTGGTGGCTCATACCTATAGTCCCAGCTACTCAGGAGGTTGAGGCCAGGAGGATCACTTGAGCCCAGAGGTTAAAGATCACCCTGGGCAACACAGCGAGACCCTGTCTCTAAACAATAGATGAACAAAATAAAACCTACAACAGATGCAAAAAACTATATCTTACATGATTTTTCTGATCTCTCCAAATCAGTCGGTGTGTACTAAGAAGGAGAGTCCCAGCATCAAATTTTATCTAGAAAGAAAGAGCATTACAAAATATTAATAACGGTGGTTCAGATTTTCTTCTTCATGAATTATACAATACTAAGATTAACTTAATCTTATAAATAAACATTTTACTTTTAGCATAGGCTTATCACAAATTAAAGAGAACCAATGCTACATACTTCATAAGCTATCTGCATAGTCTTGACAGAATTGGAAGAAAATGCAAACAACCAAGTATGATACACATTCATACTCTGCAATCCATGCAAAGGTAAATAGAAATGATGAGGTAGAGCTGCATGGATTACCATGGAACTCTAAGACATTGGATGGGTGGGAAAGAAAGTGATTTACAGCCGGGCACGGTGGCTCACGCCTGTAATCCCAGCACTTTGGAAGGCCGAGGCGGGTGGATCACAAGGTCAAGAGATCGAGACCATCCTGGTCAAAATGGTGAAACCTCGTCTCTACTAAAAATACAAAAAATTAGCTGGGCATGGTGGCGCGTGCCTGTAATCCCAGCTACTCAGGAGGCTGAGGCAGGAGAATTGCCTGAACCCAGGAGGCGGAGGTTGCGGTGAGCCGAGATTGCGCCATTGCACTCCAGCCTGGGTAACAAGAGCGAAACTCCGACTCAAAAAAAAAAAAAATAATAATAATAATAAAAGAAAGTGATTTACAGCAATATACAATATTACATATGCTGTATATGCGTGTGTTTGCAGATACACACATAGTAAAAAGGGTCTAAAAGGAACACACAGTTATCCGTTAACAATCATTATCTCAGAAAAAGTGGGAGGAAAGAGGTAGAAAGGAAGCAAAGAGCTCTTTTTTACCTCTACACTTCACTACTGATTGAATTTTTTTGCAGTTCAATTCATGTATAACACTCATAATATTTTTAAAAAAAACAAAATCCAGGAATAGATACAAATACATACAAAAATGAATATGGATGGAGATTCAATCGATGGCGCTGGGACAACTGGGTTGCCAGGTAGAAAAAGAAAAACCCATATATCTGGGTTTGTACCTAATATAATGCACCAAAATGAATTCTAGATGGATCAAATGATTGAATAAAAAAAAGGAAAAATTATAAAAGCACTAGAAAAAAATCATGAGATAATTTTTTAAGTAATCTGAGTGGAGAAGACCTTTCTAAGACGGCATTAAACCCATTAGCATTAAAGGAAAACTCCCAAATTCATATGTGGAAGCCCTAACCCTTGATGTGATGGTATTTGGCGATGGAGCCTTTGGGGGTGATTAGGTTTCGAAGGTCATGAGGTGTGGCCCTCATGATGGGACTAGTATCTCCATAAGAAGAGGAAGAGACAGGAGGGCTTCCTCTCCATGAGTGCATGCCGAGAAAAGACCGTGCAAGTACACAGGGAAATGGTGGTCATCTGCAAGCCAGGAAGGTCCTCACCAAGAACCAAATCTGCCAGCACCTTGATCTTAGACTTCCCAGTCTCCAGACCTATGAGAAATAAATGCCTGTTGTTTAAGCTACCAGGTTATGGTACTCTGTTTTAGCAGCCAAGCTGACTAGGACATACACTTTGGGTATATATGGCCTCGTTAAAATATAAATTTTAAAATGTTCTTCAAAACTACAATACAATCACCAAGAAATGCCAGCTAGGTCTTTAGGATCAAATCTTTAACACTCACTACTTGTTACTATGCCCTGAAAGTAATAAAAATAAGCAAATGTTAGAGTTGGAACCCAAGAGATTAATGAATTAAACCCCTATGTTTCTGTTAAAAACAATATATGTACTAGAAGCTTCTATTAACTGAAGTTACCAGAAAGTGAAATTTGCCATAAGATAGGGCTTGCTTGTGTCCTTTCCAGGAATATTCAGTTATTTTAAAAGTTATATCTGTTGCTCACTAAGTCCAAGCTAAAAAAAAAAAAAAGTTACAAGGCTAGTCCCATTTATAAGGCAGCCTTACAACATAAACTCTAAGGAAAGCATTTTAGTGACAGTCCAGTTTATTAAAATAAGACTGGAATTGTTTTGAGTTTAAAATAACATGTTAAAAATATTTGTAAAGTAAATAACGAATTGGAGCATTATTATATATTATTCTAAAATTTAAAAAATAAATTATATATGTGGTCGATAACATAGAGACTTATGATACTAATGTAGAAAAAAGCAGGTCTCGAAATAGTACATATAGCATGACTCCAACACAGAACACACCAAAAGTAATTGTTTATGCATAGTAGGATTGATTATTTCAAGTTTCTCCTTTTGGCTTATCCATACTTAACAACTTTATTACATGTCTAATAAATAAAAAGAAAAGATTGTTCACAGGCACGTATATCTTCATGTAATTCTGAACTATATATATAACTGTATATACAATCATTTTTTGTTAAATCAAGCACACATAGGAACATATGTCAAAAAGTCTCTGTATAATAAATAACACACTTCTTGACATACATTTTAAAAACTGTTTTCTAAGAGTAAGGTCTGATGGTATTATTATTTATTTATTTATTTATTTCAGATGGAGTTTCGCTCTTGTTGCCCAGGCTAGAGTGCAATAGCGCGATCTTGGCTCACTGCAACCTCCGCCTCCCGGGTTCAAGCGATTCTCCTGCCTCAGCCTTCTGAGTGGCTGGGATTACAGCCATGCACTACCACACTCAGCTAATCTTGTATATTTAGTAGAGACAGGGTTTCTCCATGTTGGTCAGGCTGGTCTCGAACTCCCAACCTCAGGTGATCCACCTGTCTCAGCCTCCCAAAGTCTGGGATTATAGGCGTGAACCACCTCACCTGGTCTGATTATATTATTGTTTTAATAGTATTAAGTAGTAAATAATGATATGGTTAGTAAAATTCAATGAAAGCAGACCTTCTGGACCATCTAGTCTAAATACACTTCATGAGAGATTGTCCCACCAGCAAACTTCAACAGGTCAGAGAATAGACCTTATGAGGCCATGTTTTTCTCAGAATCAGAAATAAAACATATGTACTGTTGGCACTTAGTTCAGTCTGGCTTCAAACATTTTGGTTAATTTCATTTATGCAAAACCAAGTAACTGAGTTTACAATATTTTTAAAATCTCTTCTTTGCCAATGAGTAAATTTATCTTTTCCAAAAGCATATATTTAATTATCCTAAGAGTACATAATGTTGCATTATAGAACATATTAGTTCTGATTAAGAAATTTGCAGGTTATCTTACTGAAATCCAAGCATATTCATGTTAATTTAAGGCTGGAGCCAGACTATGTTCCATTGCTATGTCAATTAACAATGTGCAAATGTAAAATGTGCTTCTCTAAGTGAAGAAATTGTATAATAGTTCCCTGTAGGGATTCCAATGGATTAAGATCTAAACCTGATAGTCAAGTTTAGGCTGGTTTGCTTATACCACTCTGAGCCTAGAATAATTTTAACTGCTTAAAAATTGATCTAACTTCAGCACTCACTGAAAAGTTCTTACACTGTCCTTTTTAATTTACATTTTTTCTGTTATAAAAATAATACACGTTCAGTGTTGAAATCTGGAAAATACTTAGAGTCTGAAAAAGAATGAAATAACTCATAATCATACCAGCCAGAGTGTGTATATATATATATATATATACAGAGATGTTTATATATATAATCTTTAAATAGAATGAGTTTTGTAACTATTATTAATAGTATAGTTGCAATTCCTCATGCTAATTAGGACATGCCATAATTTTTTTCTTTTTCGAGATGGAGTTTTGCTCTTGTTGCCCAAGCTGGAGTGCAATGGTGCAATCTCAGCTCACTGCAACCTCTGCCACCCAGGTTCAAGTGATTCTCCTGCCTCAGCCTCCTGAGTAGATAGGATTATAGGTGCCTGCCACCACACCCAGCTTATTTTTTGTATTTTTAGTAGAAATAGGGTTTCACCATGTTGGCCATGCTGGGCTTGAACTTCTGACCTCAGGTGATCCGCCAGCCTTGGCCTCCCAAAGTGCTGGGATTACAGGTGTGAGCCACCTTGCCAGGCCCCATGCCATAATTTAATTAATCAATCCCTATGGTGGTCATTTAGATTGCTTCCAATTTTTCCATATATATAATAATATTATATGTAATGTATAATAATGCTAGGATAACCATTCTCATATGTAATATTTTTACACATCTCTGATTATTTCTCAAAGGTAAATTCCTAAAAGTGAAATTGTTAGCTGAAAAAGATTAAACATTTTCTAAATCTTCTGATATATGCTACCAACTTGCCACTTTACACATTACTAACCTTACATTATCTTAGCTGAGGTTACAGAAGCATCTGTGAATTCAAACAAATGACCTGTCTACAGTGCTTATGAAAGTAACACATTATCCAGTCATAATGAGACCATGAAAACTATGCCTGTATAAACAAGCAAGCATGCATGCATTCGTAAGAGGCACTTGGGCAGTGGGAAGAGCAGTCCATTGGATCCGGTTTGTAATTCTAGCACCACCAATTACTAGTTGTATGACCTTGGACAGCTCACAGTTTTCTCAAGTATCAACTGTGGGTCTCAGTTTCCTCATCTTTGGGAAGATTTGCTGTATTAAACATTATATCAAGAGTGGCACTGGTGACTGCTATATTATGAAGTCCTTTTTTTTTTTTTAAGACGGAATCTCTGTTGCCCAGGCTGGAGTGCAGTGGCGTGATCTTGCTTCACTGCAGCTCACATGAACAAAGCACAGGCTTTGGGAGTTTGATTAGCAGAGATTTAAATCTTATCTTTGTGGATCTTAGGCAACTCACTGTATGTCTTAGCGTTACTTTCCTATTCAGTAAAATACATCATATTCCTGGTGAGAGGATTAAATAAGATGACATATACAGTTCCTGACTCATAGTAGGTATTTTAATTATTCAGGTCTTTAAAAAATGTGTTTCACACCCACAACCAGCCAGGAGATACAAGGATGAGCAAGGTACACCTGTGCTCCAGGAGCACCCAACTAGTCTAGAAGACAGCCATTCGTACAATTGCCTAGGGAGTGGGTTGGGATGCAAAGCTATGAAGGCTAAGCAATCTGGACTGCAGTCCCCAGGCCAAAGGAGCTAGTGAGGCATCCTAAAAGGGAGACTAACTTCGTCAGATTTGGGGGCTGATGTGCAGCCTTGTATGGTCTTCAGCATCACAGGAGTTCTGGATGAAGGAAACCTCATAACGCACTTTCCCCCAGGAGTCAGCCTGTGCCTCATTCAGCCTGGGGACCAAGTAGCTTCAAGGCAATTCAGCAAGTGGCTAAGTCAGTTCAGCCCTGGAGCATAGTGGTGAGGGGACTCCTCTTAGAGCTACACTCAAGTTTCAATCTTTCAGAAGAGTTAATTCTCTAGAAGAGTTAAAACCCTGACTAGATGACAGGGTCTAAAGCATTTTTTCCCCCATGATTATAATGTTTCTTAAACCTCTGACATCTATATACTTGTCTGCTAAAACAATGAGCAAAAATTTTAAAGTAAAAATTGGAACTTGTTGGTTCGACAATGTATTTCTCATATAAAAGTACTAACAGTTGTTATTTTACATTGTTTTGAATCTATCACAGCTACACTGCCTGCCAGCAAAAGTGTTCCTAGTCTTCATATTGGAAATCCACAGAATAGTTGTATGCCATGCTCTGCAAAAGCATGACTTCCTAGCGCACCCTTCAGGGACTGGCACTGGAGGAGTCTCTAAGGACAGATCTGCCACTGTCAACATTCAGTTCCTCTCAAAGAAAGGGCAAAATCAAAACGCCAAGAAAGGGGAGGTGGATTAACCTTCCCATTTAAAATTGTCACAAAGATGTAAATTGGTAAGAAAAGGAAAAAAAGTAGTTTGCCACTCCAATCCGGGAATGGAAGACTCAACTTCAGATCAAGCTAGTTGAAGTGCCAAGGCAGGCTGGGCACGGTGGTTCACGCCTGTAATCCCAGCTCTTTGGGAGGCCGAGGCCGGTGGATCATTTGAAGTCAGGAGTTTGAAACCAGCCTGGCCAATATGGTGAAACCCCGTCTCTTCTAAAAATACAAAAATTAGCTGGTGTGGTGGCGGGCGCCTGTAATCCTAGCTACTCAGGAGGCTGAGGCAGGAAAACTGCTTGAACCCGGGAGGCAGAGTTTACAGTGAGCCGAGATCCTGCCACTGCACTCCAGCCTGGGCGACAGAGCGAGATTCAGTCTCAAAATTAATTAATTAAATTAAGCAGTGCTAAGGCAGTAAGTGAAGGTAGGTCCACGCAAATTATTTAAGGAAAATACCTTTACTCAATAATACAGGCAATACAGCCCATGGAAAATGCCCTAAGGGAGTCAGGGGAACTGGGTACAATGTCATCTGTGCCTCTAGATAGCTGTAAGCACTGACCAGGAAAAGCTATGAGTTGAAGAACTTACATCAAAGTACAGCGGGAAGTGTCGTTAACAAAACGGCAAGAGAAGAGAGGCAGCAACTTAAAACTTCTGGAAACCAAAAATGCTTGTGGGTAAATGAGTTTAAAAATTTTTCTAACTCCAGTTTATACATTTCAACCCAGAACAGAAACTGTTTCATAGTTTCACAAAAGTATCTACAAAATATTTACTTACACTTCCTATTTTTCCTCTTGATTTGCAAACGCACCTTCGAAGATTTATGCTTGCATTACAAGGAACGGTCTACTAACATACGCTCACAACGCCTTTCTAAAGCAATTAGAAAACAAAAACCCAACAGCCTCTGGCAAGGGCATTCCAATGAGACACTGACACCTCTTTAGGAAATCCTGTCGACGCAACCCCCTACCCCTCTGCCCAGGGCAGATTTGCTAATCCCTCCGCCTGCACAAGGTCCGAGCTAAAGCTTCCGTGGGGGCACGGACTGTACGGCCACCTCGCCCTCCTCACAGAAAGGCGGAACCGGGCTGTCCAGTGCCGACGCCGCGGTGGGTGTCGTCAGGGGGTCTGGAACCACGCCAAGGAAGTCCGCTGCCCGATCGCCGCCAGGCGCCCGCAGAGCCACAGCGCGCCTTCTCCGGGGCACGGCGGCGGTGCGCTCCCGGAAGCATTCCGGGCGGAGGGACGCGGCCACGATCCGCGCCTGCTGAGAACCGTGCGAAAGTCGGGTACCGCGCTGGGAAGGCGCCCGACCGCCCCAGGCCGCGCGCGACCGGCCGGTGGGGAGGGCAGCAGCGCCTGGTACCGCACAGAGGGCGGCCGGGCCGCAGAGGGCCGGGAGCGAGACCGGGAACCGGGCCGTGCCAAGCAGGGCCGCGCGCTCATCAGGGGACCTTCCGCCAGCCCTTTGGGAAGGCCGGCCTACGCCCTACCTTCTCCTCGCCGTCGTATATTCGCACCCCGCGCTGCTGGATCACTAGGGTTTCGTTTATCTCCAGGAGGCCGCTGGTCCAAACGAAGCGGTCCATGGCCGCCGCGTCCCCGCCCCGGCGCTCCGGGGCAGCGAGCTGAGTGCCGGGCAGCCTGCGGCGCCCCCTAGCGTCAGACGGGGCGGGTGAGGAAGGGAGGGAGCGGCCTGGGCCGGAGCGGGCGCGGCTTGGAGGTGCGCCCAGGGACTTGGAGAAGTGAGTGGAGCGCCCCTGGCTGTCCATTCGGAGCCGGCCTTTAAGAACCCTTAATAGGCAGGCGGTCCACATCCTTCTAAATTCAGAGCTTATAGGGAGGCGAGGGAGCCCCGACCACAGCTTGGACTTCCTTATTGTGCATTATGCCTGCATGTTTGTGTAAGTTTTCTTGTCAGTATCCAGAATGTTGCCATGTTCGTTAATGATTGTAAATAATCATGTAACCCCTCTTTTTCAAATGAATATTTATGGCATTGCCTCTTTACAGCTGAAGTCAGTATTACCTATGCTGCTTTTTTTCCCTTTAGGAGTATCTTGGCCGGGCGCGGTGGCTCACGCCTGTGGTCTCCGCGCTCTGGGAGGCCGAGGCGGGTTGATCACGAGGTCAGGAGTAGGAGAGCAGCCTGGCCAACATGGTGAAACCATGTCTCTACTAAAAATACAAAAAGCAGCCGGGCGTAGCGGCAGACGCCTGTAGTCCCAGCTACTCAGAAGGCTGAGGCAGGAGAATTCGCTTGAACCTCGGAGGCGGAGGTTACAGTGATCCGAGATTGCACCACTGCACTCCAGACTCCGTCTCAAAACAAAACAACAAAAAAAATGGATACCTCATTTACCCTGATGTGATTATTATACACTGTATGCCTGTATCAAAATATCCCATATGCCCCATAAATATATACACCTATATGCCCACACAAATTAATTGTTTTTAATTGGGGGAAACATTTTATTTAACCGGGCTTGATGGCACCTGCCTGTATTCCCAGCTGCTTCCCAGGCTGAGGTGGGAGGATTGCTTGAGCCCAGGAGTTTGGCACCAGTGGGCGACATAGAAAGACCCTTTCCCCCTCCACCCAACTCCCCCACTCCACTCCACGTCCCCCACCCCCAGGCTCAAAAAAAAAAAAAGATTATTTTTATTTAGGCATTTCCAACATTAATACAGACCTCATGTGTGAATTTACATTTCAATATGTAGATCTCCTATAAGTCACCTGTTAGTTGGCCTGCGCAAAGCCATCCATGGCTGCTGCTCTCACCCACCAGGCGGCTGCAGGCCCTAGCCATTTCATTTTTATATTTTGCTTATATGGAGCACCTATAGATGTCTTCCCACAACTGATACATATTTTTCTCTTTAGGATTATTTTCTTACAGTGTCTTCCCAAAATAAAATAACTGCTCTGAAGGTTGTGAACACATTTTAGAGAGCCTACTACTTATTGGGGTAAGTGGTTCTTATTTTGGTTCTTACATTTAGGTCTATGCTCCACTTTGGGGGCCTAAGGCTGCGTGCCCATGTGGGCAGAGGGACAGAGGGACAGAGGGACAGAGGGACAGAGGGCAGGCTTGCTCTCTGTTCCCAGGGCTCCACATCTCCCCCAGTCTTGGAGTCAGTGGTCTGTGTCCAGGCTTTACAAGAAAGGCAAGGCTCTTTCCAATGAATATAAGCCATCTCTCCCCCAAACTGAATTGCCACTTTTACCATGTTCTAAAATCCTGTGTGTGTTTTGGTCTGTTTCTAAACAGTGTCTTCTGTATTTCATATTTTTCAATTTCCATCATCAGCACATGCCCAATAACTAAAAGTTCTTTAAAAACATTTGAATTGCTGTAATATGCTATTTTGTATATCACAATTTACCATCATTGCCTGATTTTTGATGATTTAATTGTTTACAACTTTTTAGTCTTTTTAAATTGAAAGTAACATGTGACCTAAGCATCCTAATCAGATGGGGAACTGTGCAGTCTTACCTGGGACTTGCAGTGATCAAAATGTTAGGCAGTGGGGACATTTGCAAGGTATGTTTTCTGCCCTTGAGGGATGTACAGTCTGTACATATAGAAGCCTGGCATATGACAGCCGCTGGGATAGATAACTGTACAAGGGTTTCCCATATCCAGGCTGGAGCAAGGAGAAATGTCATGTGTCTTATATATGGCAATAAATGAATAGACAAAAGGTTTTAATTTTTATTTTTTATTTTTTATTTATTTTTATTTTTATTATTTTTTTTTCCCATTTATTTATTTTATTGCATTTTAGGTTTTGGAAAAGGTTTTAATTTTTATGAAGTCCAGTGTATTTTTTTATTTCATAGCTCGTAGAATTTGCCTCCTCACTTAAGAAATCTTTTTTCCACAAACCAGAGATTGATGCTGATTAAGAAATCTTTGCCTAACACAAAGTCACTGAGATTTTCTCCTATGATTTCTTCTAGAAGCTTCATAGTTTTGGCTCTTACATTTAGGTCTATGCTCCATTTTTTTTTTTTGAGCAGAGTCTTCTCTGCCGCCCAGGCTGGAGTGCAGTGGCGTGATCTCAGCTCACTGCAACGTCTGCTCCCAGGTTCAAGCAATTCTCCTGCCTCAGCCTCCTGAGTAGCTGGGATTACAGGTGCCCACCACCACACCAGGCTAATTTTTGTATATTTAGTAGACACAGGGTTTCACCATGTTGGCAAAGCTGGTCTCAAACTCCTGACCTCAGGTGATCCACCCACCTTGGCCTCCAAAAGCGTTGGGATTACAGGCGTGAGCCACCGGGGCCTGGCCCTATGCTCCATTTTGAAGTTGTCAGGTTTTGTTTTTGTTTTTCATTCTTGTACACGGGTTGAGAAAAGGGTGAAAGTTGATATTTTGTATGTAGATATCCAGTTGTCCCATACCATTTGTTAGAAAGATTATCCTCCTTCACTGAGTTGCCTTGGAAATTGGAAAAATCAATTGGCCAGATAGGCTTGATTATATTTCTGGAATTGCAGGGAGCCAGAGTCACCCACCTCCCTCCGGGAAATCAGCAGCAAGGCTGCTGGGAACTTTGGTTGAACTTCAGAGAAATGAAACCATAATAGGAGGATGCGTATGTCTCGGGGTAGAACAGAGACAGGCCTAGACAGATAACCAGCTTTCACTGACCTTGCTGCAAGATAGTTGTTAGCTGAAGTATGTTAACTGAAGTATGAGAATAATAACCACAGGCTATTCTAAGTGACTGCACCCTTCCTCTGCTCTGTGCTTTGTGAACAAATAAAGTACTCTGAGGCAGGTCGGGGCCGGAGAGACTGACATCCTCACTCTCCCCAACTGCCTGGCCCAGCTTTCCCTTTGTGTTTCTGTCTTTCTTTATCCCCCACCGTTCCCTCTTAGGCCTTTGAACACTTGTGCAGCGTGGAACGCAGCATGCGTCCATTGGAATCTCTTTTGTATTCCATTTATTCCTTTGTCTTTCTTTACACCAGTAGCATAGCATACTGTCTTCATTACTGTAGCTTTATAAGTCTTGAAATCAGGTAGGTAATCTTCCAACTTTGTTCTATTTCAATTGTTGCCTAATCTAGATACATCACATACACATTTAAATTTTAGAACCCTATTGCCAATTTCTATGGAAAACCTTCTAGAATTTTGATAGGGATGGGATTGAACCAGTCAGCTTGGAAAAAATAGACTTCTTAATAATATAAAGTCTTCTGATCCATGAGCATGTAATATCTCTCCATTTATTGAGGGTTTTTAAAATTGCTGTCAGCAATATTTTATACTTTTCCCCAGGATGTTTTTGCCAGAACCTCCCACCTTCTGAATCTGATGGTCCCTTTCATTCCCAGTCCTACTAGACCTCTGCAGTGCCCAACACTGTGGTCCATTACCTCTTTCTTCAGCCTCTCTCTTCCCCAGACTTTGTGCCACCTACTGTGTCGCCATTGTCTTCCTACCTTTCAGATTGTCCTTCCCTGTTCTCTCACAGGCACTTTACCTTCTTCACATGGCACAGGAGGAACAACTAATGCTAATTAATCATCAATACTACAGGTGCCTTCAGTTTAATGGTCAGCTGTGTGGGCAAAGACCGGTTCTGGAAGGAAGTCTTTTTTTTTTTTTTTTTGGATCTTTTAGAAAAGGATCTGCTTTCTCTCCAATAATTGTGGGGAGTAATATTAAAAACTGTCTCAAAAAAATAGACCATCATTGGAGTGGATGAGTCTGGAAATTAGAGGAGAATTGCCATGATGAAAAATCTAGTAGTTTTGCAAGTTTTCCTATTCACCATCTTAGCTTATTGCGATCTCCGTGGTATCTTTTGAGTCACTTTCTTTAATCACCATGCCAACTTATAAAAATTATTGAGATGAGATTCACATAACATTAACCATTTTATTTTATTTTTTGAGACTGAGTCTTGCTCTGTTGCCCAGTCTGGAGTGCAATGGCACAATCTCGGCTCATTGCAACCTCCACCTCCCTGGTACAAGCTATTCTCCTGCCTCCGCTTCCCAAGTGGCTGGGATCACAGTCGTGCACCACCATATATAGCTAATTTTAATATTTTTAGTAGAAACAGAGTTTCACCATCCTGGCCAGGCTGGTCTCGAACTCCTGACCTCAGGGGATCTGCACACCTCCCAAAGTGCTGGGATTATGGGCATGTGTCACTGTGCCTGGCCTATTTTATTTTTTTGGAGATGGAGTCTCACTGTGTTGCCCAGGCAGTGGTGGGATCTCTGCTCACTGCAACCTCTGCCTCCTGGGTTCAAGCGATTCTCCTGCCTCAGTCTCCTGAGTAGCTGGGACTACAGGCGTGTGCCACCATGCCCAGCTAATTTTTTATTTTTGCATTTTTAGTAGAGACTGGGTTTCACCATATTGGCCAGGCTGCTCTCGAACTCCTGATCTCGTGATCCACCCACTCCCAAAGTGCTGAGATTACAGGTGTGAGTCACTGTGCCCGGCCTAAAATTAACCATTTTAAAGTGAACAACTCAGTGGCATTAATACATTTACAATATTGCACAACCACTACCTCTATCTGATTCTAAAACATTTCATTTACTTCAAAGTAACGGATCCCTTATCCATTAGGCGATCTCTCCCCAGTCTCCCCTACCCTCAGCCTCTGGCAAGTGCTATTCTGAGTTATTTTACTATGGATGTATCTATTCTAGATATTCCATATAAATGGAATCATACCATATGTAACCTTTCATATATTACTTCTTTTACTTAGCATAATGTTTTGGAGGTTTTTGAATTACTTATTAACTGCTCTATTTTGTTCTCTCACTTAATAGAAATTCCTGGTTACCCAAACTGTCTGATGAAACGTCAATAAATAATCAACAATATTGACAGAAGTATTTAAACAGCCGTGGTATTCTTAAGGATGGTGATGAACACGTTACATTAAAACTGGGACATTTCATCAAGTAAAAAATGACAAAAAATCTCAAACCAAATTCCTCATTAGCAAGATGCTACCGTCAGACATCTGAAGAAAAAAGCAGACAGAAGTGGGAAAAACTGACCACTGCCGAGGGCCAGCTGTGGAGGCCGTCAGACCCGGGAAGGGTAAATGGGGAAATCACATCCTCCCGTCTGAACACAAAAAACATGGCTGAAGCATAGTCCAGTACAGCCTTACTGCAGTGATCAGGCAAGAAATGTAAAACCCAGTGCTTGAAACCAGGCAGGTGCAGTCCAGACTCGCCCTAACTTCCCCACTGCCAGCCTTAAAATCTTCTAGCCCTGACTTGTTTCGTTCTGTCATGTGGATTGGGTGTTTGTGTGGGTTTTATGAAGGTGATATTTTTAGATGAGAAAAACGAAAAGGTTATGGTAGCACACTTAACCACACAAACACAAAACGTCTACAACAAATGCTATTTTATCTTCACAGGAGAATCATGTATCACCTTGGGGAGGGGATGGGGCTTATCCTCATTTTTCCAGTTTCTCCTCCTCTCCTCCCTTTTTTGCATCTAATAATTGCTTAGAATAAAGGTATGGAAAGTAGATCCCAATTTCAGCCCCGTTCACACGCTGTGCAAACGTGGACAACGTCTGAGCCTGTCACCTCTCAATGGAAAAAGAGGCGATAACGTCCCCTTCAGAGTTATCATGCTCAAAGTGAAGCAATCTTTGTGAAAGGAAAATACACATCCTCGTGGTACGCCAGGTCGGTGTTTACGTCCTCGTCAGTGAACAAGCCGATGTTTAATAAGAAGCACAGCCACTCAACACTTTTCTTGTATTTTTCTCGGCTGTCTTCCTCCAAGGGCTCTAAGGGTCCCAAGCTGTTGTCTGCAACCTAGTCCTGCTACGTCGTGGGGACTGAGTAGGCTGACTCCTCCCCTGTCGCACTTCCAAGATAAAGAGCGCAGTTTAGGTTTGAAACCTGCAGACTCAGTCCCAACCCAACTCGGTAGACACCAGACCGACCAGCGCAACTGCAATCCAGGCTCCGCCCCTCTATGCCCATTGGCTCATTCAATTCACGCAGGAACCAATGGGCGGCGGCGGCGTTGGCTTGAGAAAATTCTATATAGGCGGTAAAGCGGAGACGCAGCCTCCGACCCGAGGCTACGATGAGTACCCCGGCTGTGCCCCGAGACCTGCAGCTGCCCCCGAGTCAGAGGACCCAGAATGCATTCAAAGGTGAGGGCTGCGGTGTCAGGCGCGGGCTAGGCGGTCGGGGCTAGGAGCTACCCTGGCACGCTCCACTCCTTCCCGGCTCTGTGAGAGCCCTGAACGTGGCCTCGGCGTCGGACGCGGGCTGGGCGGTCGGGGCTAGGGGCTGCCCTGGCGCGCTCCACTCCTTCCTGGCTTTGTGAGAGCCCTGAACGCGGCCTCGGCGTCGGGCGCGGTCTGGGCGGTCGGTGCTAGGGGCTGCCCTGGCGCGCTCCACTCCTTCCCAGCTCTGTGAGAACCCTGAACGTGGCCTCGGCCTCGCCCTGCCGCATTCTTGGCCTTGTGGAACGGGTCATAAAAGCAGGACCCGCTGCGTGGTGTTAGTGTGCGGTCGCTGCTGGCTGGGTTGGACACTCCTGTGAGGGAATCCGTTAGGCGAGGGGAAACGTGCGGGGCTCAGGCCGGCACCAGTGTTAGGAGCCCGTTGTTTGTCGGGTGGGGGCGGGGCGGGGGCGGGGCTGCACTGTCGCCCGGACGGACTGCGCCTGCGCGGGGCTCTCCGCCTCCTGGGTCCGTAGCGACTTTTTGCTGGACTGGGGTCGCATCCTGTTGTTTTTTCCAATTTCACAGCTTCTCCTGAGACTTTGGAAACCGAGGGTTGGCTGGGTCATCAAAAGTTATTTTTTTTCTACAGACAGGAAAGCAGAAGGAAGGAATTCTCACCTAACCCCGTTCTGGTATATTAGAACTTTGGAGTCTGGCGCCTCACTTCTAACATTAAACTTCTTAAAGCTTCGCTTTCGAGAGCTGTATGTTGAAAATGATATTCTCCAGATTTTTCACAGACAGTAGAGAATGTGATTCTTTTTTTTTGAGACGGAGTTTCACTCTTGTTACCCAGGCTGGAGTGCAATGGCGCGATTTCGGCTCACCGCAACCTCCACCTCCTGGGTTCAGGCAATTCTCCTGCCTCAGCCTCCTGAGTAGCTGGGATTACAGGCACCCACCACCATGCCCAGCTAATTTTTTTGTATTTTTAGTAGAGACGGGGTTTCACCATGTTCACCAGGATGGTCTCGACCTCTTGACCTCGTGATCCACCCGCCTCGGCCTCCCAAAGTGCTGGGATTACAGGCTTGAGCCACCGCGCCCGGCCCAGAATGTGATTCTTATGCAGAGGGGCTTTGGGGACTGTTATGGTAACAGTCTCTTCTTAGATGATTTCTCAAAGGCAATACTGAATTGGGGAATTTTCTGTTAGAGATGTGACCTCAAGTGGAACCAGGGTTGGAAGTAAACTCTTTATTTAGTCAAAAAAATTTATTTGATGTTATAACTAATACTGACTTGTAACACGTACCTTTTGTTACCTAGAGCAAAGAAAACAAAAACTCCAGGAACATCTGTTGAGAAGAAAAACACTTTTTGCATACAAGCAGGAAAATGAGATGTTATCCAGGTGAGGTCAAGTTTATTTCTTTTCACTTCTGTGCATCTTTTTTTGGTACAACGTCTTCAAAATCTGGTGTCTATTTTACACTTACAGCACATTTCAATTTGGACGATCCATATTTCAAGCACTCAATAGCCACATTTGGCTAGTGGCTACTTTACTGGATGGTCCAACATTAGATCCTCGTTTTCTGCATAAATTAATTCACAATCTAAGCAAAACACAGTTATAAAGCAAAGTATGTGCATAGACCAGATTATCAACTTATGGTTTACACCACACAAAGGTCAGTCTTTCTATTAATTAGCAAAGCTTTTACTCAGTGTATGGGGGAGTTCTTCAGGGAAGAGTTGGGTGGCCCTCCCAGATGCTTACAGATTATTAATTGTAGTCTTAAGCTTCTGTACAAATATTTTTATTATTTTGCAAAAATATTTTAGAGAGTACATAGTTGTAGCAAAAACAAAAACCCATGAAAGTAGATAAAGCGGAAAGGCAAAAGGTCCCCTTACTCCCTAAAGATAACCACTAATTACATCCTCACAGGCTCTTTGCATCTAAGAGTGATAAGGGCCTGGGTTACAGTCCTTAAGTCTGCTACTACAGCTGTGCAACCTCAGGAAAGATACTTGACATCTTTGAGTCTGTTTACATATATTAAAATGGGATAGCAGTAATTGTTTCTTGAGGATTAAATTAGATAGTGAATGCATCATGTTATGCCTGTTATACAGTGAGAACCCAGCAAGTGGTAATATTTTTTAAAGCTCTCTCTGTGGCATTACATTCCGTGAACTGGTTTTTGGAATACTTCATTCTCCTGGTTTCATTAATTTTCTTCCAAAATCATTGCCATCCTCATGGGTCAAAAAAAAAAAGTCTCATTTTTGGCCAGGCACAGTGGCTCATGCCTATAATACCAACATTTTGGTAGGCTGAGGCAGGCAGATCAGGATGTCGAGACCATCCTGGCTAACATGGTGAAACCCCATCTCTACTGAAAATACAAAAAATCAGCCAGGTGTGGTGGCACACACCTGTCGTCTCAGCTACTTGAGAGGCTGAGGCAGGAGAATCGCTTGAACCCAGGAGACAGGTTGCAGTGAGCCGAGATTGCGCCACTGCACTGTAGCCTGGGCAACAAGAGAAAAACTCCATCTCAAAAGAAAAAAAAAAAAAAAAAGCATCACTTTCATCTGCTTTTCTTTATATTAGGTAATTTATTGATATATTCTGCCCCTAAAAAGGCTTGAAACCCTTTCTGATGGGAGAGAGTGGTCAGATTTTGCCACTTCTTAGAAGATAGAGCTGACTAGACCCGGTGATGGTTAAGTATGGGATATAAAAGAAAGAATGGAGTTAAAAGTCCTGAATATTCCTGAGTAAGAGAGGCTAAAGAGACATAACAACTGAATGCAACGCCTGACCTTATACCATATTATATACTGGAAGGAAGAAACAACATAAAAGACATTATTTGGTCAGTTGACAACTAAAGTGTGAACAGTAGGTTAACGTAGTTCATCAAGGTAAATGTAGGTTAAAGTAGTGTATCAAGGTAAATATATTTGATTACTGTGGTTATGTAAGAGAATATTCCTATTTTAAGGAAATATTTAAGAATAAAGGCCATGGTATATACAATTTGTCTTCAGATGTCTCAGGTAGAAAATTATGTATACCAGCTAGGCACGGTGGCTCACTCCTGTAATCCTAGCACTTTGAGAGGCCCAGGTGGGTGGATCACCTGAGGTCAGGAGTTCAATACCAGCCTGGCCATCATGGTGAAACCCCGTCTTTTTTTTTTTTTTATTGCATTTTAGGTTTTGGGGTACATGTGAAGAACATGCAAGATTGTTGCATATGTACACACATGGCAGTGTGATTTGCTGCCTTCCTCCCCTTCACCTATATCTGGCATTTCTTCCCATGCTGTCTCTCCCCAACTCCCCACCCCCCTGCTGTCCCTCCCCTATTTCCCCCCAACAGACCCCAGTGTGTGATGCTCCCCTCCCTGTGTCCATGTGTTCTCATTCTTCCACAACCGCCTATGAGTGAGAACATGTGGTGTTTGATTTTCTGTTCTTGTGTCAGTTTGCTGAGAATGATGGTTTCCACGTTCATCCATGTCCCTACAAAGGACACGAACTCATCGTTTTTGGTGGCTGCATAATATTCTATGGTTTATATGTGCCACATTTTCCCTGTCCAGTCTCTCATGGATGGGCATTTGGGTTGGTTCCAGGTCTTTGCTATTGTAAACAGTGCTGCGATGAACATTCGTGTGCATGTGTCCTTATAGTAGAACGATTTATAATCCTTTGGATACATACCCAGTAATGGGATTACTGAAAACCCCGTCTTTAAAAAAAAAAAAAAAATTATGTATACCGCCCCCACACATATTTAGAGATTGGAAATGATAACGCAAATGGGATAAAAATTTTAACAGTAGGTGGATCCTGAGTAAGGACTGTATAGATATTCTTTGATCTGTTTATATTTTTGCAATTTTGTTTCAGTTTTGGTATTCCAAAATTTTAAAAATAATTTCTAACTTTATGTTAATAAGTGGCTTTAGTTTGGAATAAACCTTTTATCCTTCACAAATTTTTTATTCTTTTTTTTTTTTTTTTTTGGAGACGGAGTTTCACCCATGTTACCCAGGCTGGAGTGCAATGGTGCGATCTCGGCTCACCGCAACCTCCGCCTCCTGGGTTCAGGCAATTCTCCTGCCTCAGCCTCCTGAGTAGCTGGGATTACAGGCATGCACCACCATGCCCAGCTAATTTTTTGTATTTTTAGTAGAGACGGGGTTTCACCATGTTGACCAGGATGGTCTCGATCTCTTGACCTCGTGACCCACCCGCCTCGGCCTCCCAAAGTGCTGGGATTACAGGCTTGAGCCACTGCACCTGGCCAAATCTTTTATTCTTTAAGACAAAAGGGTGATCCTAGGTTTTTGGTTTGGATAAGTATATGGGTGGTGATAACCATATACTGAAATAGGAAGACTGAAGGAGGAGCTGGGGAATTAGGAGTTCTGTTTTGACCATGTTTGAAGTACCAACCAGACATCCAGGCAGTATGCCAAATAGTTGTGTGTCTGAAGTTCAGGGGAGGTGTTGGGACTGGAAGCATACACTCGGGAATTGGTCAGTATACAGATGATATTTATTTAAAAACCTTAGGATGGAGTGAAATTACTAGGGAATAAGTAGAGATAATATGGATTCAGACAGTGGCTCTCTACTGCTTATTTAAATAAGGAACCCAGCAGGGTTGGGGTTTATAATACTCTTCAACATAATAGGAAGAAGAGAAAATTCTAAAACGCTTCTAGTGGCATAAGTACATTTATTCCTTTCAGAAAACAGATGTCAATTTACATGTGTATTAGCACTGAATTATTAAATAAGACAACTCATCTGTGCTGCAGCTTTTCAGAATTAAACAATTATATTTTATAATCTCTAAAGTGTAGGTATCCTGAGACTCATTTCAGATAACCCTTCTTAGGGCAGTTTCATGATAATAAGACAGAATAGGATTAAGTCTTCACATTGGACAGGTGATTAAGATGGGTTCTTCTTGTCATCCTGAGTTTTGTTTTTTTTTACCTAGCAGTTAACTACTAAGAAACCCTGTTAAGCGGCACATTTGGATCTCCCTTCACCATTGTTCAAAATGCATAGTACAGGCCATGTCAAAGTTCTGTTCCTTCTCCAAGCTGACAGAGGAAATATATATGAAAGGCAATCTAACCAAAATTGTTAACTACCAAATTATGTCACATGTAAAATAAACATTTATTTTATTTTTGAGATTGAGTCTGGCTCGTTGCCTAGGCTGGAGAGCAGTGGCGCAATCTCAGCTTACTGAAACCTCTGCCTCCTAGGTTCAGGTGATTCTCCTTCCTCAGCCTTCAGGGTAGCTGGGATTGTAAGTATGTGCCATCATGCCTGGCTTATTTTTATATTTTTATTAGAGAGGGGATTTTGCCATTTTGGCCAGGCTGGTCTCAAACTCCTGACCTCAGGTAATCCACCCGCCTTGGCCACCCAAGGTGCTAGGATTACACACATGACCAACTGCACCCGGCCTCATTTTTTTCACATTTTAACATGATCTCTGAACTTAGGATCTGTCTTAAAATCAATGGCATGTCTAATTCACAGTATTTTTTCCTGTCTTCATTGTATGCAAAATTGTTACAATCACCTGCTAAGAGTTGCTCACAGTCTGCCTTAGCCAGTTTACAACTACAAAAATAAGTTTAGGTCACTTTCTTGAGGAAGGATTTGCTTTGCAATACCACCTAGAAACTGAGGTTCTTTTTTTTGAGACACGGTCTCAGTCTGTCACCCAGCCTCTAGTGCAGCGACAGGATCTTGGCTCACTGCCTCAACTCTCAGGCTCAAGCAATCCTCCCACCTCAGCCTCCCAAGTAGCTGGAACTACAAGCACCCTACACGACACCCAATTAATTTTTTATTTTTTGTAGAGATGGGGTGTCACCATGTTACCCAGGCTGCTCTGGAACTCCTGAGCTCAAGTAATACCCCCGCCTCAGCCTCCCAAAGTGCTGCTATTACAGGCATTAGTCACTGCACCCATCAGTCCATATTCTTTATGTATGCTAATATAAATTAATCTGTGAATGCCATATTGTAAATTTTGGATTACTTTTGTGTGACTCTTACATAAAAATTTTTTCAGCGTAGTACATCTGTTACTAAGTACTTAAAAGTAAACCAAGAAGGTATTGCTTCCTAAAGGTTTTTTGAAGGCTCTTTTGAATGACTTGAGGATGATTTGAAATAAGAATATTAAGTATTTACAAATTCTATGGGCAGAGAGTGTTAAGACTTTTAGAAAATATCTTTAGATTCCTCAGCCATTTGTTTATATTATTAAAAGTTATTGGAAGTTTTGCTTAGGGCTGGGTGTGATGGCTCACACCTGTAATCAGTACTTTGGGAGGCCAAAGTGGGCAGATCACCTCAGGTCAGGAGTTCAAGAGAGCCTAGCCAACATGGTGAAACCCCGTCTCTATTAAAAATACAAAAATTAGCTGGGTAAGGTGGTGTGCACCTGTAATCTCAGCTACTCAAGAGGCTGAGGCAGGAGAATTGCTTGAAACCTGGGAGGCAGAGATTGCAGTGAGCTGAGATCATGCCGTTGCACTCCAGCCTGGGTTCCAGAGCAAGACTCCATCTCAAAAAAAAAAAAGGTTTGCTTAGGAAAAATATCACAGGTCTTTCTTAAATTTAAAATTAATAAGTCAGTTAATTGTTAACATTGCCCTCTTCTCCATCCCCAAATGGAAGCCTCCTTGGTACAGGATTGATTGATTAATCCTTTTGTTTGTTTGTTTTGAAGTAGTAGAGGTCAGAGAGCTGGGACATCTGAGGACCAAGTTCAAGAAGGGACTAAAGTGCTGAAACTTAAAACAAAAATGGTAAGATGTGGACATAGCCTACTTAAACTGTCCCTTTTCCGTTTTGCCTTTCATAAACACTTGTCTTAAATAATTCTTTTAGGCTGATAAAGAAAATGTGAAGAGACCTGCAGGGAGCAAAAATAGTACAATAGTGGGGAGAAATTGTATTCCTTTAAAACCTTCAAATGAACTAACCAATTCAACTATAGTAATTGACACACATAAACCTAAGGATAGTAATGAAACTCTGCAGTTGTTACTAACTGAAGATGATCCCCAAAGTCAACATATGACATTAAGCCAGGCATTTCACCTTAAAAACAATAGTGAAAAGAAACGGATAACTGCAGAAAAACTAAAGCAAGATGCTAACATGCCCAAGAAACCTGTACTTGGATCTTATCGTGGCCAGATTGTTCAGTCTAAGGTTAATTCATTTAGAAAACCTCTACAAGTCAAAGAGGAGAGTTCTGCAGCAACAAAGAAACTTTCAACCACTGTCCCTAAAGCCACAAAGCCTCAGCCTGTAAACACCAGCAGTGTACCAGTGAAAAGTAATAGATCCTCAAGTATGACTGCCACCACGAAATATGTAAGCACTACATCTCAAAACACACAACTTGTGCGACGTCCAATTAGAAGTCATCACAGTAATACCCAGGACACTGTGAAACAAGGCATCAGTAGAACCTCTGCCCATGTTACAGTCTGGAAAGTGCCTCGTGAAAAAGAACTGTTAGAATCAAAAACAGCTTTACCTAGTGTCAAAACAAGTTCTTGTCAAGACATAATTAGAAGTAAGGCACTGTTGAGAAGCATAGGAACTGAAGTTGTGGCTAGGCCTGCTTCATTGTCTAATGACAAACTGATAGAAAAGTCGAAGCCCATTGACCAGCGAAGACATACTATAGGAAAAGCAACTGTTGGTAGATCAGCTTATCCCAAAGAAACCGCAGAAGAGAGAAAGTAAGTAGATGTAATTATCTTTATTGTATTACCTTAGTTTTCAGTAAAATGCTGTTTGTATATTTGGCTTATAATTTCATTGAGTGCATTAGGATTTTCCTTTTTTTTTTTTTTTTTTTTTTTTTTTTTTGGTGAGACAGAGTCTTGCTCTGTTGCCCAGGATAGAGTGCAGTGGCAGAATCTTGACTCACTGCAGCCTCCACTTTCCAGGTTCAAGTGATTCTCCTGTCTCAGCTAACCGAGTAGCTGGTACCACAGGTGCGTACCACCACACCCAGCTAATTTTTGTATTTTTATTAGAGTTGAGGTTTCACCATATTGGCCAGGCTGGTCTCGAATTCCTGACCTTGAGCTCTGCCCGCCTCAGCCTCCCAAAGTGCTGGGATTACAGGCATGAGCCACCATGCCTGGCCTAGAATTTTCTTTCATGGTTTCTCTTCTGTCATATGCAGGCAGATTTATGTTGTGGAACATTATGACTAATAAGTTTTTGTGTTTGAATATGTTTTATTAGATTGCTTTTTAAAAATCTAAAGTAAATGCTTAACAATAATTGGGAAATATTTTATAATCTCTCAAAAAAAATGCATTCATTGAGTCTTTGAGCACACTTGACCTTGATATGTTTACTATTTCTTCAAGCTTGTGAACTGTGTACATGTTGCTAGAGTAAGATTACTTTAAAATAATGACTTTTTTATTTTTTAACTTTTCCTCTATTTAACAGACTTCTCTCAGCGATTTCAAAGTAATCTTTATATCTGCTTCTAACTATAGAGCTCGTCTGAGTGAGTGGAAAGCTGGCAAGGGAAGAGTGCTAAAAAGGCCTCCGAACTCAGTAGTTATTCAGCATGAGCCTGAAGAACAAAAAGAAAAACCAGTTGGGTCTTTTTGGACTACCATGGCAGAAGAAGATGAACAAAGATTATTTACTGAAAAAGTAAACAACACATTTTCTGAATGCCTGAACTTGATTAATGAGGTAGAGTCTATATTTGCCTAGCATTTTATAGTTTGCAAATTACCTTCATAAACATTATTTTATTAAATTTTATCATCAGTCTTTTTGACTCGGTGATGTTGGTGATACTATGTTGCCTTGACATGAACTGTGATTATTTTAAGTTATTTAATTGTGAGATATACTGCTTCATTCATTAGTTGTGAGATTATTAGCCTTTAATTGACTATATTTTTGCATTGAGTTCATATAAATACACAGGTATTTATCCAAAATGCTTGGGACCAGAAGTAATTGAAAATTTTTTTGTGGGATTTTAGAATATTTGCGTATATGTAATGAGATATCTTGGGGATGGAACCCAAGTCTAAACACGAAATTCATTTATGTTTTGTTTGTGTATTTGTTTGCTTTTGAGACAGTCTTACTCTGGAGTGAGTAAGACCACCCTAGCTGGAGTGAAGGGGGCTATCTCAGCTCACTGTAACTGCCACCTCCAGGGTTGAAGCCATTCTCCTGCCTCACCCTCCGAAGAAGCTGTGATTATAGGCATGTGCTACATGCCTGGCACATTTTTTGTATTTTTAGTAGAGACCGGGTTTCACCATGTTGGCTAGGCTGATCTCAAACTACTGGCCTCATATGATCCACCCACCTCAGCCTCCCAAAGTGCTGGATTACAGGCTTGAGCCACTGTGCTCGGCCTTATTTATGTTTTATATATAGCTTATACATGCAGCCTAAAGATACAATATTTTTTATAATTTTGTACATGAAGCAAAATTTGTTTATATTGAACCATCAGAAAGCAAAGGTGTCACTGTGTCAGCCACCCATGGGACAGTCTGGTTGTCTGGCATCACCATGATTCCTTACTCTGAATTTCTGTGCTACTAATAAGCAATTATTTTCTTACACTTATTCACACATAAGTATGTCACAATTTATAAAAAACAACTGCATTAATACAGTGAAAAATATGTTCAGAGTAACTGAGCAGCACAGGAGAATCAGAATACCTGTATCAGCTGTTAGACAACAGCAACAACAAACAGCAGCACATTATCAACCTCCATCTATGATGCTGCGTTTAAGAGGTATTTTATACTGTGTTTTACTTTTTTAGGTGAGAAGAAACATCAGAAGCAATTGAGGAAACAGGCAGTGGGTCCTCTAGGGATAAGGAGGCATTCTGCTGGATGGCTTTTTAAGATGTTACTTCAAGTCATCTGCCTCATTAGCAGTGGTTTTTGTCTTAGAAGTTTCTCCTTGATTTTATAAGGGACACGATTTCTTGTTCTTTTCTGAATAAATGCTGCTCTAGTCCTTTAATAAGCCTATCACATATTTTCACCTATAGGTACATTTTCGGTGGTGTTAATGATGGTCATCTTCATTATGCTGATGATACTCAAAGTTTTGCATTTTAGGTTTTGGATTTTCCAATTAGGGATACTTAACCTGTATCAAAGGGATAATTAGGTTTTTTTTTTTACTGAATTACAAATATTTGAGTCCTCTGAGATAATTATGTAATACACTGAGGTGATATTTACTTATTGCTTCTAATATTTTGTTTCTTACATCTATTCATTATATTTACACATTATTTTTTACATTCATTCCACATTTTACCAAAGACTAGCAACACAAATATTGTGTGAGTCATTATTATCACAGATTAAATTCAAGTTACCTAAAATACTCTTAAACAAAATCCCATTCATCTGGCCAGGTGCGGTGGCTCAAGCCTGTAATCCCAGCACTTTGGGAGGCTGAGGTGGGTAGATCATCCGAGGTCAGGAATTTGAGACCAGCCTGGACAACATGGTGAAATTCTGTCTCTACTAAAAATACAAAAATTAGCCTGGTGTGGTGGTCGGTGCCTGTAATCTCAGCTACTTGAGAGGCTGAGGCAGGAGAATTGCTTGAACCTGGGAGGTGGACATTGCAGTGAACTGAGATCATGCCATTGTACTCTAGCCTGGGCAACAAGAGCAAAACTTCGTCTCAAAAAAAAAAAAAAAGGAAATTCCATTCATCTAAGGCAACATCATCATGGTTTTGAATTTATTGCAGAATTTTGCTATTTGGACCAAAATCTTGTGGAGTGTAATAATCAGCTCCAGAATACTGTCTTTGTTTCCTGACTGCTCTTTAATCTTGTTTTGGTCACGTACTGGTGTGTAAGGTCCATACAAAAATTAAATTCAAAGTATGATTTCAAACCTGAACCTGACTCTACTCTTCATGAGCCTCTTTCAACTTTTTGTGGTTCTGACCACCAGTGAAAGTTACAATCAGAAAAACTCTGATTCTCTAATAGGAAAGAATCAGAGTTTATTTCTGCTCAGTTGAAGTTTTTTCTTTTGATACTATAAACTTTTTCTGCCCTACTATTTAACTATATGTAACTGACATAAACCATTATGGATTCATTTTAATCTTAATATCAAAACCCAGCAAAGACAATTAAGAGAAAAAAATTCCACAGGGCTATTCTCACTCATAAGTATTTGGTTGAAGGTATTAGCAACAAATGGAATCCCACAATATAAGGATAAAATCAACACCAAGTAAGTGTTCATTTTGTACTAATAAATGTCTCAACTAATATTTCATTTTTTGCTTTACGCTTATGGCTATCTTTATCATTGATCTTGACTATCATAGGTTCAATTATTGTTCATAGTTTGTAGGTTAAAAAATATCACACACATTATTTCTTGCTCTTTTAGGGATGTCCAAAAGAAGGTATACTGGTCACAGTTAATGACCTGATTAAAAATATTCCAGATGCCAAAAAGCTTGTTAAATATTGGATATGTCTTTTACGTATGGAACCAATCACAAGTCCTGTTGAAAATATTATTGCAATCTATGAGAAAGCCATTCTGGCAGGGGCTCAGGTAAGATAAAAAGTTGTTTATCTTTACTATTACAGTGTAGTAGACAGTTCAGAATTAATTTGAAACACATCACAACATAACTTGAGAAAGTTGTGGGCATATATGTAGTATTAGTAAGTGTTTGAAGGCCACAAGGATTGCATTATAAAAGCTTTTATGGCCTTCTGAGTCTTTCATTCTTGTGCTAGGAATAATCTGACTTTAGAAAATGGATGTAAGCTGAAATGTACATTTAATGAAACTTTTTGCATGAAATATTTTAGCATATTATTGTATGCATTTCCTGGTTGGAAATTTACTGGGAGACTGAATCTAACATTAAAATTTCTTTATTGAATATAAAGCAAAAGAAATTAAATTAGCCTTCTAAATGTTATCAAGCTCTTATGTTTTTCTGAGAACTCTTTCACTTTAAGAGTAAACCCGACTATATATTTATAGTCAGGTTTAAAATATATAGAGAGAGTGAGTCAGGTTTACTATTATAGTGTATATTATTAGTGTATAATATATACACTATATATATTGGTCCTTTGGCATATAGAAAACGGCAATAAACCAGTTTCTCTAACGTTACCTCCCTAGTGGCTTGATACGATAGTCCTATCTCCTCTAGCCTATTGATACACAAAGCTTTGGGTATACAATAAATCATTTCTCGAGCTTTTTGTTTGGTTGCGATTTTTTGTTTTTATGGTTAAATGTTCCTAAAATATATTTCCTTTTGACCAGATTTCTCAGAAACACATTCTTGGATATTGTTTATATAGATAATTTTTTTAAACTCCTTTTTAAGAAAGGTCTGTTCACTTTAGTCTCAACAAAATCAACAAATGCTATTTGACTTTTCAGTTAAGTAAAAAATCAGATATGCAGCAGATAGTCTGTCAGTGGCTATCATATGTGAAACTCTTTCCAGAAGGGTAATTATATTTGACAGAATGCTACCTGGTAGGGAGTGTTAGGCCCTACTATGTTGCATCAGAAGGGACGTTACTTAAGGCAACTTAGGACATTGTAGCAAGGATGCAAAACTGGAACCAAGGCTCACACAGAAAGCATAAAGTAAACAGAAAGATGTAACACCAGAGGAGAAGCTGCTGGAAAACAAGAATCAAAATTAGCCAAGATGGCTGGACACAGTAGTGCGTGCCTATAGTCCCAACTACAAGGTGGAAGGATTCCCTAAGCCCAGGAATTTGAGTCCAGCCTGGGCAACATAAACTCCATCTCTTAAAATAAAATTAGTGGCCAGGCATGGTGGTTCATGCCTGTAATCCCAGCACATTGGGAGGCCAAGGCAGGAGTCCAAGAGTTCGTGACCAAGATGATGAGACTTCATCTCATCATCTTAAGTTAGCCAAGCATGGTGGTAGATAACCTGTGGTCACAGCTGTACTGGAAGCTAAGGTGGGAGAATTGCTTGAGCTCTGGTGTTCAAGACTAGTGAGCCATGATCATGCCACTGCATTCCATCCTGTGTTAGCTGAGCAACACCTCTCTCAAAAAATAAAAATAAGCCAAAAAAACTGAAAGCAGGATAGCTGAGTAATTCAGGACTAGCTTCTGGAACTGAGGCTGTGAACCATACCTTTTCTAATCTTGAATGTGTTGGATGGAACATAGTAAATGCTTATAATACCTGGTAAATAATGGGCACTTAGTAAGTCTGACTGAATGAAATATGGTGAGGTAATCAACCTTAAGCTGTTAAGAGATACATTTCATAGCATATGAAACAAAAGTATAACCATAGACTCAATTGTAAGAGAAAAGCAGCAAGGCTTAATTAAGTAAAATTATGGGGAAATTTTCAAACATGAAATTCTCTTTCAAGTTCATTTTTAGTCTATACATTAGAAAAGACAGCCATTTTTCAATCTTAATTAGTGGTCTGAGAGGCATGGTTTAAGAGCTACTGCCTTACTTTAAAATACAGTATGAAATTTTAATCACTGACTTAATATTTTCAACTTGGATACCTAGTTCATGTCAGAGAAAATAAAACTTACATGGGTCTGCTTTCTTCATTAAAAAAAAATTAAGCCTATTGAAGAGATGCGACACACAATTGTAGATATTCTAACAATGAAGAGTCAAGAAAAAGTTAATTTGGGTAAGTTTTAGTTCTTTTATTTCCTTCAAGTGAATTGTAGGGCTGTTTTTTTTTTTTTTTTTTTTTTTAAACTTTTAAGATCAGGAGTACATGTACAGGGTGTGGAGGTTCGTTACATAGGTAAATGTGTCATGGGGATTTGTGTACAGATTATTTCATCGCCCAGGTATTAAACCTAGTATCCATTAGTTATTTTTTCTGATTTCCTCCCTCCTCCCACCCTCCACCCTCCCTTGTGCCCCCGTGTGCGTTGTTCTCTAGGTGTCCATGTGTTCTCATCACTTAACTCTCACATGCAGTATTTAGTTTTCTGTTCCTCTGTTAGTTTGCTAAGGATAATGGGCCTCCAGCCATGTCCCTGCAAAGGACATGATCTCATTCCTTTTTATGGCACGTAGTATTTCATGGTGTATATGTACCATATTTTTTTATCCACTCTATCACTGATGGGCATTTGGATTAATTCTATGTCTTTGCTACTGTGAATAGTGCTGCAGTAAACATACATGTTCATGTGTCTTCATAATAGAATGATTTATATTGCTTTGGGTATATACCTAGTAATGGGATTGCTGGGTTGAAGATTTTTCTGTCTCTAGGTCTTTGAGGAATCGCCACACTGACTTCCACAGTGGTTGAACTAATTTCCCACCAACAATGTAAAACACATTGCGCATTCCTTTTTTTCCACAACCCTGCCAGCATCTGTTTTTTTTCCTGTTTTCTTTTTCTTTTTCTTTTTCTTTTTTTTGAGACGGAGTCTTGCTCTGTAGCCCAGGCTGGAGTGCAGTGGTGCAATTTTGGCTCACTGCAACCTCTGCCTCCTGGTCCTGGTTCAAGCAGTTCTCCTGTCTCAGCCTTCTGAGTAGTTGGGATTACAGGAATGTGCCACTATACCCAGCTAATTTTTTCATTTTTAGCAGAGATGGAGTTTCACCATGTTGGTCAGGCTAGTTTTGAACTCCTGACCTCATGTTCCGCCCACCTCAACCTCCCAAAATGTTAGGATTACAGGCGTGAGCCACCATGCTCAGCCATTTTTTGACTTTTTAAGGATAGCCATTCTGACTAGTGTGAAACGGTATCTCGTTGTAGGTTTACTATTTCTTTGCTAAATTAGTTTTTGTTTTATCTTTTTTAACTTTTAATATATGTAGGTTGTTTCTTTCCTTATACTTGTGTTGACCTATCTCTGAGATAAAATGGCTTTATGTAGTATACAGAATTTTTAATTAGGCGATCTGGCTCAATATTTAGATTTGTCACTGAATGTCTATAAAAGTTGTGTTGTCTCCAGGCTTTAATTTTTTGCCTTAAAATTGAGGTAGTTTGACTAGATCTGTAGACTTTTCACTTGTTAAATTCTGTGATCTTTGTGTTGTCTAGAAAAGCTCATTCAAGAATTCTCTTTGTTGGGGATAGTAGATGGAGATAGGAGATTCATTAGTTCTCAGTCATCAAATGTGTAAACATTTTTAGATTTAGATAAAGTTTATGCCAGTTGATATGACTTTAGGCCAAAAATACCCTTTCATCTGTAAAATAGGGATTTTGGGGGACCATTGAATGAAATAATGTTTATAAAGTATCATAGTATATAACACATAGTAAATTTATTAAACTGTAGCCATTAATGTTAATTAACTTTAGAAAAACTGTTTCCAGCTGGTGGAGGTGGCTCATGTCTGTAATCCCAGCACTTTGGGAGGCTGAGGTGAGCGGATCACAAGGTCAGGAGATCAAAACCATCCTGGCCAACGTGGTGAAACCCCATCTCTACTAAAAATACACACACAAACACACACAAATTAGCTGGGCATGGTGGCACACAACTGCAGTTGTAGCTACTCAGGAGGCTGAGGTAGAATTGCTTGAACCCAAGAGGCAGAGGCTGCAGTGAGCCAAGATCGCACCACTACACTCCAGCCTGAGCAACAGAGTGAGACTCCGTCTCAAAAAAAAAAAAAAAAAGGAAAAAAAAGTGGTTTCCAATTATTTACTATACCTGTATATTACATAGTCAGCAAATATTTGAGTGCATATTGTATGCAATTGCCTATATATCTAGTTATTTTCTTTTGATTACTTTTAACAAGAGTCAGTTTGAAGTTTTTTTTGTTTTTTTTTTTTTTTTTTTTTGAGACGGCGTCCTGTGTCACTCAGGCTGGAGTGCAATGGTGTGGTCTCGGCTCACTGCAGCCTCCGCGTCCCAGGTTCAAGCCTCAGCCTACAGGCAATGTGCCACCATGCCCGGCTAATTTTGTATTTTTAGTAGAGATGGGGTTTCACCCTGTTGGTCAGGCTGGTCTTGAACTCCTGACCTTAGGTGATTTGCCCACCTTGTCCTCCCAAAATGTAGGGATAACAGGCATCAGCCACCGTGCCAACAGTTTGAACTTTTAAAGTCTTCTGACGTGCTGCCAGATTGCTTTCCAGAACAGTATTAGTACCCCTACTTGTAGTATGCAAAATGAATTTAAGATGTAGAGATCTAGGTTGAAGGGCTAAACCTTAAAAAAAGAAGAGCATACTCAAATTCTAAATTAAGTATGTTATATAAGTTTTTTATTACATGTATTAGCAAAAAAAAAAAAAAAAACCTGTTCACTGGGGTTAATATGCTAATGGCTGTGCTTATTACTTTGCTAATGGCTGTGTTGGAGGTCATGCTTCTGTTGGTAGCATGCTTAGTTATAAGGATTTATTTCAATTTATGGTGACTGTTAATATGCACCAGGGGAACCTATGAAAGATCTATATGATCTGATCTTACTAATAGTATTTAATGAAGGAGCTTGAGAAGCAGGGAGAGAAGGGGACACCGAGGAAAGACTAGTATACCACACAAAAAAAAAAGGAGGAGAAAATTTTAAGAATAATTCAGTCCTGTCTCTTATTCACAAACACAGTGAAGTGGAAATTCATATTTCATAAAAAGAGCTTCTCTCATAATTCCATCTCTGGAGATGTGTGGAAAGATAAAAGCAATATTTAATCTGATTAAATTACTGTTCCTATCTTACAGAATAATACTAGTTGGTGTTTTCTAGCAGGTATAATATTTTATTAGTCTTTAGATGGGGGAAGGAGCTATCCATAAACTCTTGGCTTTCTGAAATGTATAATTGTAAGTTCTGAATATAAAACCAATTTCACAAGTCAGTTATTTGTAAACAGCAAAAGAACATAAGTGGTCGAAGTAGTTCAGGAGAGGGTTTAAAAAAAAGGCTGGTCACTGTGGCTCACGCCTGTAATCTCAGTACTTTGGGAGGCTGAGGCAGGTGGGTCACCTGAGGTTAGGAATTCAAACCATGCTGATCAACATGAAGAAACCCCATCTCTACTAAAAATACAAAAAAATTAGCTGGGTGTAGTGGCGCATGCCTGTAATCTCAGCTACTCAGGAGGCTGAAGCAGGAGAATCGCTTGAACCCAGGAGGTGTAGATTGCAGTGATCTGAGATCTCGCCATTGCACTTCAGCCTAGGCAACAAGATCGAGACTCCGTCTCAAAAGAAAGACAAATAATAAGAGACAAGCACCACTTGGATATCTCACAGCTACCTCAAACACAAATAGCCAAACTTGAATACATAATTTCCCCCTAAACCTGATTCTTCTTTTAGTTCTCTGTCTTAATGAATGAATGAATTCTCTGTCTTAATGAATTCCAAGTCAGAATCTTGGTGTGATTGTTTACTCCCTCTTTCTTTTCCAGTTCCCATCACTTTTCCCCAGCTAAACAAATTCATTTTAACTTCCTAAGTGTCTCTTAAGATCCATCTACATCATTCCATCCTTACTCTCCTTGCTGTCTATATTCAAGATGACTTATACTTTTACTCTGCTCTTGCCTCATTCCAATCCATTCTCAACACTGGAACCAAAATGCTCTGTCATGTATCTGCATGTTACTGAGTCTAGTCTCTTTTCTTTCCCTCCCTACATCCTTGAATTTCTTTCTTTTTTTTTTTTTTTTCCCATTTCCTGAAAGGGGTTATACTGTCTTTCCCTCCTCTTTGCTCTTGCCTCATTCCAATCTGTTCTCAACACGCAACCAAAATATTCTGTCATGCATCTGCATAAATTCCTGAGTCTAGCCTCTTCTGTTTCCCTCTCCACTACGTCCCTGAATTTTTTTTTGTCATTTCCTGAAAGAGGTTATACTCTCTTTTCCCTCCATGTCTCTCCAAGACAGTCTTCTGCTTAAGTTCTACTTATCCTTTAGATGTCAACTCAGATGTCACCTCCTTGGAGTAGCCTTCCCTGATGATTTCCCTGATGTACCATTCCCTCTCCTCTCAACCTAGGTTTAGTGCACCTGTTTTGTGCTCCCTGTTTTTTCCCTATGCAATATTTGATGCATTTGATTGCTTACTATTTAGTTGTTTGTCCTGTCTTTTGCATTATGTAAACTCAATATACAAGAACAGTGTCTAATGTTTGTGACCACCGAGTCTTCTGTGCTAATGGAATGTCTGGCATGTATTTGGCACTTAAATATTTGTTGAATTAATCTATGTTCTTGTTTTTCAGTTTCCACTTACTAAAAACTTGGTCACTATCATGCAACTAAAATTTCTCTTAGTAAAAATTTTTAATAATTGTCTTATAATTAAATCTAGAGGTTTTTTTCAGCTGAATGAATTTATCAGGATGTCTCACAAGTATTTCTAGCCTAACATGTTTTATTTTTAAATCTTTGACTGCCCTTACGTTATCCCATACCCAAGATCCCATTGTCCCAAAAAAAGAAAAGAAAAAGCCTTCCTTTGGCATTTATAACTCTTAAGCAAGAAATTTTAGACAAGATGCTCCTAATATATATGCACACTCATTCCCACACAGTCATGCCTTCATTTTTTTTTTTGTTTTTTTTTTTTAGACGGAGTTTCGCTCTTGTTACCCAGGCTGGAGTGCAATGGCGTGATCTCGGCTCACCACAATCTCCGTCTCCTGGGTTCAGGCAATTCTCCTGCCTCAGCCTCCTGAGTAGCTGGGATTACAGGCACGCGCCACCATGCCCAGCTAATTTTTTTTGTGTGTGTGTTTTTTAGTAGAGACAGGATTTCACCGTGTTGACCAGGATGGTCTCGATCTCTTGACCTCATGATCCACCCGCCTCGGCCTCCCAAAGTTCTGGGATTACAGGCGTGAGCCACCGCACACGGCCGCCTTCATTTGTTAATAAGTTCTGACTCGGGTCGATATGGTGGCTCATGCCTATAATCCCAACACCAGAAGGCCAAGGTGGAAGAATCGCTTGAGGTCAAAAATTCGAGATCAGCCTTGGCAACATAGTGAGACCCTATCTGTACAAAAAATTTAAATATTAGCTGGGCATGGTGGCGTACACCTGTAGTTTCAGCTACTTGGGAGGCTTTGGCAGGAGGATCACTTGAACCTGAGAAGTTGAGGCTGCAGTCATATATGATTGTGCTACTGTACTCCATCCTGGGTGACAACAGAATGACAGGCACCCTGTCTCTTAAAAAAAGGTCCTTACTCAGAAATATTTCTCAAATTGGACCCTTCCTTCCTATCCAACCTCTTATTAACTTCCTTAGCCTATTACAACAACTTCGTCTTCTTTCCCTCCCAGATTGTTACTTTTCATTCTCTGTCATTCTAGACAATCCTTTACATTGACCAAATTTAATTAGATCTGTCTCTGATCAATTTTTTTTTTTTTTTACCAAACTTCTTTCATATAAAGCTCATTACAGTCCAGCTCTTGCTTACCTATCTGAGCTCAGTACCGCCCACTCCCACTCCTCCCTTGCCCCTTACCCTATATTCTAAACACACTGGCTCTTTAATGTTATTTTAATAGACCATTTTCTTTGATGTGCCTAGGAAGGTTGTCTTCTTTGGTCTTGGTCAATTACTCATTTTTCAAGACCCAGTCTAAATGTCACTTGTGAAGCATTCCCTAACCATCTCCCTGTACCACAAGCAAAGTTAGTTGTTCCTTTTTGTGGGTTTTAATAGTCCTTTGTTCTTATTACATATATAGCATTTATCTCATTTTATAATAGTAAATGTTTGTTACATAGTTGGCAACGGTTTGTTATATAGTTGGCTGAGGAAAAGGAATGGTTCGGTGATGGCAGTTGTGTTCTTTTATTTTGAAAATTTGGCCAACTAGGAATAACTTTAATGTCTTCTGATTTTGTTCTTAAAATTCAGCCAAAAGCTTAATCTAATAAATGTATTTTCTATAGAAGAAAATACGGAGAAGGCTTGTGCAACCAAGGAATTAGTCACAGAAGTCAGTATTGAAGATACAGGTAGTGATGTAGAGCCAGAAAAACCGGAAATGGAGAGTAAACATCATAGAAATGTCCTATTGCAAGACTGTGAAAAGGAGCAAGACAGCAAAACGAAAGATCCAACCCATGATATTAAAACCCCCAATACAGAAATGAGGACAAGTTCCTTAATTAAATATAATGTGTCTACTACGCCATACTTGCAAAGGTAAACATTTAAAATGTAATGTACTATGATTTTTTTTTGATGCTTGGGGATAATAAATATGGCATGTAAAAATCTTTGAGATACCTTCAGATTACAGCTACCATTTGTTAACATAGAAAAGTTTTCAGGCGGGGCATGGTGGCTCATGCATTTAATTTCAGCACTTTGGGAGGCCGAGACAGGCAGATCACTTGAGCCCAGGAGTTCACGACTATCTTGGGCAACATGGCAAAACCCTGTCTTTACAAAAAATTGGCTGGGCTAGGTGGTGTGCGCCTGTAGTCCCTGCTACCTGGGAGGCTGAGGTGGGAGGATCACTTGAGCCTGGGAGGCAGGGGTGGCAGTGAGCCAAAATCATGCCACTGTACTCCAGTCTGGGTGACGGAGCAAGACCCTGTCTCAAAACAATAAAAAAGTTTTCAAACAAATAGAATGTCATTGGGACATTTCACCTTTTAAATACTATGTTTACTTTCCGTAAATATTGCCATTTTGAAAAAGAAAACTTTTATAAGATTTTACTTTAACCTGTGGTTATTAATAACAGTAGGTTTTGGCATTCAGGAGTTAGCCAATTCTAGATACTCAAGTATCTACTGTGTACAAGCTGTAATGACAAATTGAGAAAAGGATAAGTTTCTCACTTCAATGAGCTTGTACCTCTCTAAAAGACAATTACATGCTTATAACATACAAGCTATATGGTATGGTATGGTACATATCATGAAAGTACAGATTAAAAACATTAACATGTTTTTGAACTCTGAGAATATTGTTTTAATTTTCAGTATGAAAAAGAAGGTGCAGTTTGATGAAACAAATTCTGCATTTAAGGAGCTGAAGTTTATAACACCAGTGAGACGTTCTCAACGTCTTCAAGAGAAAACCTCTAAATTGCCAGATATGTTAAAAGATCATTATCCTTGTGTGTCTTCATTAGAACAGCTAACGGAGTTGGGAAGACAAACTGAAGCTTTTGTATGCCGCCCTAATGCAGCACTGTGCCGGATGTACTCTGAGGATTAAATGACAGAAGAGAACTAAAGCTCTGATAGGGAATTGGGTTTTTATGATTTGTGGGGTGTTTTGTTTGGAGTAGCTTTATATTGCCCTTAGGACTGAAGTTGGCCAAGTACCTATGTATCTTAAGTATTCATGGCAATGAGCTTCTTTACTAACATTCATGTTATGGCCAGAGTTGTCCTCTGCATTAGAAAGCTAATCCTGCTGTTTGAATCTCAACTGACTGAGTTTTTTCTTTTAAGATAGGTAAATTTTGTCAGCTAGTTTACTATGTTCCTTGAATATAAATAGGTTAAAATACTAGGCTGTTCACTTTACTAACTATAAGTACAGTAATGATACATCATTAGAAAATGAGTTATTCCAGTTAAAATGTGTATGTTTGCATTGACATGTTTTTAAAAGTTATGATCTCCCTACCATTAAACAGAATAATTTTTGGGGGGGCTTTCTTGGATTAGTATGAAAGTTAAAAATTGTATAGAATGACTCACTTTGAATATTAAGACACAGGAGGTTTAGCTTGCTTTCTCACCAAATTCATGTTACCCAGACTTGTGTTCTGTTGTCCCTTGGACTGCCTATTGATTGATGAAAGTGTCTGCACTGTCTCTCTTCGTCAGTGGCAGTCTGTGGTCTCATGGCATCTTTTGATTATAACTGAGGTCACCAGGAAGGGTGCCTAATTAACCCCATTTTAAGAGAAGATACTTTGTTATAAGAAAGAAAAGATGCCAGATTTATTGGTTTAACTTTTGTAACTTCACTTGGTAGTTTTTAAACAATTAGAATGGAGTAGGGAAAGAATACATCATACTGGATAAATGTCATTCTAGTTTAGAAAGCATTTTGTCATTCTAGTTTAGAAAGCATTTCTAAAATACTTGATAGTTACACATTTTTCTCTCCACACATAAATACCACCACTAAAATTGTAAGTTTCTAAACTAATACTTACATGGCACACATCATCTATCAATTCTATGGTTTCAAATAAGTGACTTTTTAATTGTAAAAGATTAGTTTAAAAACTATATGAATGTGGTTGAAGATCTCATGCTTAGTCATTTTTATGTTTATTCCATTTATGTATCTTTTTTTCTATTGACTTCTCATGTTCTAGAGAGTAAGGTTTTTATTCCGTGTACCTGATATGTATACAATAAAAATAACCGTATAATGATTTCATGAAGTTTATTTCAACAAATACTTGATGAAATGCAGTTTAACTACAGGGAATGAATTTTAGCTTTGCTTTTGAAATACATTGTAAGATTTGACTTGAGGTTTTTGACACTTTGCTTAATAGTATATTTTCTCTTCAAAAATCATCAGTCTACTTATATAAACTTTTCCTAGTTTTTTTCACTTTAACAAAAACGATCACTATGCCCTTTGGTTGTTTTTCATACTTTGAATGAAGTCAAGCTTTGATACACTCTCAGCTTTTTAATATCCATACCATATAATTCATTTGTCTGTATAGCATAGCTTGAAATGTCTCTCTGAAAGAGAACTCAAGATGCAAACTTTATGTTTGGACAAGTTTTTAGTTTTAGTTTTTGTTTTTTTTTTCTCCTTTTACTGAGGGAAAATCTGTCTCTAAATGGTCCTAGTTCTAACATTCAACCAGAGGTCTAACTCCTTTTCTGATGCTTAAGGACAGCTATTACATGTCTCCCCTAGGTTTGTTCCAAACTAAATATGTCCAAGGATGTGATACTGTGCATAAGCATCCAACAGAAATGTAGCAGGGACCTCTCTCACGGGCCTGCTTGGATCTTCCCATGCATACTAATAAAAAATCTTGAGTCTCTTCAAGGGAAAATCCAGGTACCTTAGCTGGCCTCAAAAAAGTAAATGAGCAGCCTGGAATAAGGACACAATGTTTAGTTCCCTATAAAAATGAAAGATCACATGTTGAGTTTTTTAGGAACCCAGATTCATGCCAGATGAAAAATCCCACCCACTGTCATGTGGACCTAAGATAAGGGGAAACAGGACTAAACCCTTACCACCATTCTTTGTTCTAGATTTCTTCTTAAGGGGCCTAGACAGAATCATGCCTACAAGCAAAACCTTAACATTCCTTTCTGCTGACCCTAAGTTTTTATAAAAAGCCCTACTTTAACCATTGCAAAGCTCTGAATCTACCTATAACCTGTAAGCCCCTGCTTCAAGATACTTACCTTTTTGGCTCAAACCAATTATAACCTCCATGTATTGATTTATGATTTTGCCTGTAACTTCCACTTTCCTAAAGTGTACCCCTGCCATTAAAAACCCTTGCTTGTAAGCCATAAGGAAGCTTGGGTCCCTTTTTTTCCTTTTTAGACAGAGCCTTGCTCTTGTTTCCCAGGCTGGAGTGCAGTGGCACGATCACGGCTCACTGCAACCTCTGCCACTTGGGTTCAAGCAATTTTCCTGCCTCAGCTTCCTGAGTAACTGGATTACAGGTGCCTGCCACCATGGCCAGCTAATTTTTGCAGTTTTAGTAGAGATGGGATTTCACCATGTTGGCCAGACTGGTCTCAAACTCCTATCCTCAGGTAATCGGCCTCCCAAAGTGCTGGGATTACAGGCGTGAGCCACCAAGCCTGGTCTAGGAAGCTTGTGTCTTAAGCTGCCCAGTTCTTGCACACCCTATAATACCTCAATTTCTCTCACTACAAATCCTGGCGACAGTGTCTGGCTTTTGCTGCACGTTGGATGAGTGGATCCAAGTTTGATTTGGTGATGACCTACATTCCAAAATCTCAAGCTTCTCCCTTAAAAGTTGTGTGAGCTTGGATATGAATCTCATCTTTATGAGAGGTAAAAAGGAGATAACCCCTGTAGTCATTTTGTACCATGTGATCTCCAGGTTTATTGGCCAGGAATGGTCACTTGACCAAAGCTGGACATGTCAGAGAACTTTCCATAGGAATTTGGAATCAAAAGTCTTTTTTTTAAATGTAGTTAAACGTAAATATTATATAGTATGTAAATATGTGCTGGGTGACCAAATGAGGGTTGAAGAACAAAGGTCACCAGTCAACAGAAAAGACCATATAAATAAAACTGTGTGTGTGTTTGTATATAAACTTTGTGGGGTTTGTTTTGCTTTATTAGCTATACATGGCACCATACCTTATGTACGGTTATGTAATTTGCCCTTTTTTTTCTAAATTACTAAGTCTTGGGGAAATTTCCGTTTATGTAAATCAATGTAACATTAATTATGACTGCATGGGAATTTAATATTACATTTCAAATAGTGGGAGAAAGAATGGCAATGAGTCAGTTACCCATTTTGGGAACAAGAAATTTCAATGCCTGCCTCATACCATTTGTAAAAATAAATTCCAGGATATTAGGAGGAAATATAAAATATGTTTGTTTTTGAGACAGGGTCTTACTCTGTTAGCCCAGACTGAAATGCAGTGGTGCAATCACGGCTAACGACAGCCTGGACCTTCTTGGACTCAGGTGATGCTCCCATCTCAGCCTGCTGAATAGCTGGTAGCTGGAACTACAGGCCTGTGCCATCATGCCTGGCAAATTTTTCTAACTTTTGTAGAGATGGGGTTTTTCCATGTTGCCCAGACTAGTCTCAGACTCCTGAGCTCAAGTGATCTGCCCGCCTCAGCCTCCCAAAGTGCTGGGATTACACGTGTGAGCCACTGCACCCAGCCTAAAATATGTTTTTATCTTTAGAACAGGGAGGGCGTTCTTAATCAAGACACCTTTACATGGAAGGGTGTGGTAGAACCCATGGACTTTAACAGCAAATAACAGTAAGACTCTATAGGTACGATAGCAAGACATTCAGAGACCAGACTAGCGGGTGGCACCTGAGATCCTCAAGATTCTGTTAAAAAAAAAAAAAAAAAAGTGGATGGTGCGCCTAGAATTTCATGCTCCAGGTATTTTTCAAGTTTAAGGGCAAAATAATATTTTCAAACAAGCAAGAAAGGATTCAGTTTACCATTCATGAATTTATCTGAAACTAATCCTGAAGGTTTTATTCTAGTAAAATAAGTAAATCTAGCCAGGCATGGTGGCACATACCTATAGCTCCATGTACTCAGTAGGCTGAGGCTGGAGAATCACTTGGCCTGGGAGTTCAAGGCAAGAGTATGCTATGATCATGCCTGTAAATAACCACTACTCCAGCCTGGGCAGCATAGCAAGACCCTGTCTCTTAAAAAAAAAAAAAAAAAAAAAGGCCAGGCACGGTGGCTCACGCCTGTAATCCTAGCACTTTGGGAGGTTGAGGCAGGTGGATCACGAGGTCAGGGGATGGAGACCATCTTGGCTAACAGGGTGAATCTCGTCTCTACTAAACAAACAAAAAAATTAGTGGTACGCACCTGTAGTCCCAGCTACTTAGGAGGCTGAGGCAGAAGAATGGCTTGAACTTGGCAGGTGGAGGTTGTAGTGAGCACCATTGCACTCCAGCCTGGGTGACAAGAGACTCCGACTCAAAAAAAAAAAAAAAAGTAAGTCTGAGATTTTAAGAAAACTGTTAGCCACACCAAACCAAAGTTAAAAAGCATAAGAAAGTCTATACAACTGTAGACTACAAAGCAGTTATACAGAATGAAAACTCGCAGTCATCTCAGGAGTGGCATTTGATTATTTCTTTTTTTTTTTTTGAGACGGAGTTTCGCTGTTGCCCAGACTGGAGTACAATGGCACGATCTCGGCTCACCGCAACCTCCGCCTCCTGGGTTCAAGCAATTCTGCTTCAGCCTCCCGAGTAGCTGGGACTACAGGCACACACCATCATGCCCAGCTAATTTTTGTATTTTTAGTAGAGACGAGGTTTCACCTTGTTGACCAGGATGGTCTCGATCTCTTGACCTCGTGATCCACCCGCCTCGGCCTCCCAAAGTGCTGGGATTATAGGCGTGAGCCACCGCGCCCGGCCGCATTTTATTATTTCTAGTTACTGCCAGATATATTTCTGGATACACCCAGAAGCTCCCCTGGCTGGGTATCCACAGCTTGGCAACCACTGCATAAAAAGGGAGCCAGACCTTCTCTCACCATCCCCTCTCCACCACCCTCACCAGTCTATTCTTCCTGAGTTACAGGTTGAACCTCCTGCAAAATATATGCTGGAGTCCTAATGTGCAGTACCTCAGAGTGTGATCTTATTTGGAAATAGGGTTGTTGGAGATGTAATTAGTTAAGATGAGGCCACACTGGGTTAGGGTGGTCCCTCAGTCTGATATGACTGGTGTCCTTATACAGGGGAAATTTAGACTCAGAGACAGCACACATAAAAGAAAGGCAACGTAAGGCTGAGTACGGTGGCTACGCCTGTAATCCCAACACTTTGGGAGGCTGAGGTGGGTGGATCACGAGTTCAGGAGTTCCAGACCAGCCTGGCCAACGTGGTGAAACCCTGTCTCTACTGAAGAAAAAAACAAGTAGGGTGTGGTGGTGCACGCCTGTAATCCCAGCTACTCAGGAGGCTGAGGCAGGAGAATCGCTTGAACCTGGGAGGCAGAGGTTGCAGTAAGCTGAACTCACATCACAGCACTCCAGCCTGGGTGACAGAGCGAGACTCTGTCTCAAAAAAGTAAAAAATAAAGAAAGATAGGCAATGTGAAGAGACACAGGGAGAAGGAGGCCATCTACAAGTCAAGCACAGAAGCCTGAAACAGATCTTTTCCTTCCAGCCCTAAGATAAACCAACACTGTCAACGCCTTCATTTTGGACCTCTAGCCCCCAGAAATAGGAGATAATAAATTCCTTTAAACTATGGATTCAGCTTGTGGGACTTTGTTACAGCAGCCCTGGCAAACTAATATACTGATGGAACAAGGGAAAGAGTCCCTTTCACGATTGCCTACATTGGGTGGGAAAGAAAAGCATTAGGCACCTTTGTCAACTTCTCCCCTGATGCTGTCATGAATTTAATCTCAGAAATTTGTGTCTGTTTCTCAATTCCCAAGAGCAGCATTCTGGGTACAGGCATAGGTAGTGTTTTGGTTTTTCTTCCTTTTTTTTTTTTTTTTTTTTTTTTTTTTTGAGATGGAGTCTTGCTCTGTCACCCAGGCTGGAGTGCAGTGGCACCATCTTGGCTCACCACAACCTCCGCCTCCCAGACTCAAGTGATTCTCCTGCCTTAGCCTCCCAAAATGCTAGGATTACAGGCATGAGCCAACATGCCCAGTCAGGTTTTTTTGCGTGTGTGTGACGGAATCTCGCTCTGTCGCCCAGGCTGGAGTGCAGTGGCATGATCTCAGACCACTGCAGCCTCCGCCTCTGAGGTTCAAACAATTCTCCTGCCTCAGCCTCCTGTCTAGCTGGGATTATAGGCTCCTGCCACCATGCCCGGTTAATTTTTGTATTTTTAGTAGAGGTGGGGCTTCACCATTTAGGCCAGGCTGGTCACAAATTCCTGACCTCAGGTGATCCACCCACCTCGGCTTCCCAAAGTGCTGGGATTACAGCTGTGAGCCACCGTGCCTGGCCTTGTTTGTTTTTAATTGAAACTAGTCCTTTTATAGAGTACAAAGAAAGGAGTGCAGATGTTGCAAATGTCAAATTGTAACATTTCCCTTCTCATATCACCACACTAGGGAATACTTGTATATTAGCTCTCACATTGCGGACAGAAGGCAATTGGAGCTGGCCAGAGCAAAGCCATTTTGTTTCTGAATGCCATTTTACAACTGCATGACTGCGGAATGTACTTGCTAATGTTGCAGACAAAATTGCTGCCACTTATGAAAAGGACTGAACTTTTCCCAAATCCCTGAATCAAGGACTTTTGCCTAGAAACCAATGAACTGTCATGATAACGCTTCATCTTTAAAGAAAATCGTGGGTTATGAATGAGTAAGTGAGAACTAACTTTTTATTTCCTTTAACAACTCTACCCAAAAATAGCTGGTCAGGACACAATTCAAATGCTTCTGGAATCTGTGTTCCTTGAATGGCAATTCTAAGACTGCCAATAAACTTCTTTTGTTGGATTTCAGTCTCTGTGACTCTGGTTGACACATGTTATAATGAACATGTTCAGTGCTTATAGTAAATTATAGCCAGATATTGTTCACAATAATCCTGTGAGGTAGGTTCTATACTTTTATACAGAGGGGTTTAGTTACTCTGCTGTATTAGTTTCTTAAGGCTGCCATAACAAACTATGACAGCCTAAATGGCTAAAACGACACAAATTTGTTGTCTCACAGTTCTGAAAGTCAGAAACACAGCTCACTGGGTTAAAATCAAGGCGTCAGCACCCATGGTGGTGCTTCCCTGTAATCCCAGCCACTCAGGAGGCTGAGGTGGGCGGATCGC